ATAATCTGGTTGAAGATCTAGAACAGTGAGAAAGGAGAATAAAGCTGGAGGAGGTTCAGAGGTCTCATGCTAAAGATTCAGAAGAAGCCATGATAGGTTATTTTGACAAAGAATACTAACCCTGTAGACAAAGAGGAAGAACTGTATCTATTGGCAAAAAGACACATCAGACTTAGGGTTAAGGTTTTCAGCTTTGTCAGAATCTGACCATATGTCTCTATCCCAAGTTTTGGGTCATGCTTCTATCCTAAGTTTTACAACCTTTTTCTAAGTTTAATATCAGAGAAACTGTGCTGTGGGCAATTGAACCTGTGTTGAAATCCAGCCACTTTGGTTTTCAAACAGCTCAGCCTTGCAGTTATTGGAGATAAAGAATTCTCTTGGGCCATCATTCAACTTTATATCTTTTTTTGTAAAACTTTAGTTGAGAATTTAAAGCACTGAGCTCATTTTCTTTCTTCCTGTTCTTAGATCACTTAGAAGCATGCAAGTAATACCCTCTCAATTTTTACTAAAATAATGTGTAGGAGTATATATTGATAGTTCAAACTCTTGCTCTCTGCAGGAGTCAGATTAGAAATGTCTATAGATGATAATTTCAGTTTTATTCTGCACTGCGCTGCCCTCCCAGCCCCAGGAGTTATCAGTGTCAGTTTACCTCTCAAGACAGGTTATTAATGTCATTAAATCTGACTGGCACATAGAATCAATTGAAGATAACTGAGAACCAATCAGGAAAATGCATTCAAAATCTGTTTCAGTAAGGGGTGTGTGTGTGTTTGTGTGTGTGTGACCTGAGGCAATTTGGGGAGTGAATTAATGTCACTGTAAAGTTTCTATAAAGCATTGTCTTGCAGTGAAAGTTTGATGTGGGCATGCACTGGGGGAGAGCAGGGGCAAACCATAATCACAAATATGAACTGGAACTCACCAGGACAGACTGGACCTTGTGTTGGTGTCTCATCATCATCAGTCCTCAAACTCTGATGACGTGGGTCTTTTACAGAATGAGGTGGGGTTTTTGTCACTGAGATAACACAACTGGCTCTGAGATTGTAGAAGATCCAGTGGGAGGTGAAATATCTGTCCCACACACATGAGGGAAGCCAGTCTATAGTGGAAATGGCCATGAGCACCTGCACTGACTTTCCAAAGGTAAAAACAATGCAGTTGCAGCTCACTCTGTCTTCCAGGTTTCATGGAAATGTTTCTTATGGCCCACAGCCTGAACCACGCAGAGAAGGAATGTAGTTCCAGTTTATTAAACTAACATGGAAGGGAGAAACCAGATCATGTAAAACCTTTAGGTCATGAAAAAAAAAATAGGACTGGAAAATCAGTGTGGTCTGATATTTTAAAAAAGATCAATCTGGTAGAAAATGGGGGGTAGAAGAGCAGAAATGGAGAAGAAACCAGTGAAGAGAGTATTGCATGAGATGATAACAGCCTGTGATTTCCTCAGTTTGGCTACTTTAACAGAATAGACAGCCTGGTGGTTTATAAACAACAGAGCGTTATTTCTCATGGTTTTGGAGTCTGGGAAGTCAAGGTGCTGATAGATCCTGGTTCATAGATGATTTGCACTGTCCTCACATGGTGGAAGGGGGTGGCGCTCTCTGGGTCTCTTTTGTAAGTGTACAAATTCTTTTTTCTTTTTTTTAAGATTTATTTATTTATTTTATACAAGCACTGGGTACAGTCAGAAGTGCGGGAGGGTGAGAGAATTCACCAGAGACAGAGCGGGGAACAGAACAGGCAGAAGACCAAAATACACTGCTGAGGGGAGCAGCGGGTGCGGCAGGAGAGTTCTGCGCGCAATGTGGGACCCTCACCAGTGGCCGGGGATCGAACCAGCGCTGCAGAGGCTGCGGGCAGCTTTGCAGCCCAGCGCTCAACCGCTGCGCCACCAGGGGAGCTCCATGGAAGTGTACAAATTCTATTCATGAGGGCTTAGCCCTCACATGCCCATTATTTCCTAAGGGCCCCACTTCCATAATCCCACTTTGGGGATTCGGTTTCAACATAAGGATTTGAGGGGATACAAACATTCAGTCTGGAGCACTTAAGGTGACCTGTATTTGGGGAGTTTGAGTGAGAAGCTACCAGTGAATCCCAGGGTTTCAGTTGGAGTAACTGGTGGAATGGTGGTGCCATTAACTTAATTGGGAAGAACATGGGGAGGAAAAGGCTTGGAGGGTCACGCCCCAGGGATGAAAGCATTTAGTTGTAAATACAGACAATCCAAAAAACAAGGGCTTTAATACTAAAGAGTTTATTGACCTTGTCTAGCCAGAAGTTTTTCGAGTGTTTCAGCCATATTGCACAAGTTTCCAGCTTTTTCTTCCCTTTTTCACATAGGTCTTCATCCTCAGAGCCATTGCCTCATTGTTGCAAGATGGCTGCCACATTTGTCCAAATTCTAAGTGTGCAAATATGGGAAAAGGCAAAAGGGCAGAGTAGCATGCATCCAAGTCCTCCCCTTTAAAGTCATTTCTCCAGGGCCTCCCCAGGTGGTACAGTGGTTGAGCGCTGGGCTGCGAAGCTGCCCGCAGCCTCTGCAGCATTGGTTCGATCCCCGGCCATTGGCGAGGGTCCCACATGGTGCAACAGACCTCTCCTGCTGCACCCACTGCTCCCCTCAGCAGTGTGTTTCGTCAGTCTGCCTGTTCTGTTTCCTGCTCTGTCTCTGGTGAATTCTCTCACCCTCCCACGCTTCTGACTGTACCCAGTGCTCGTATAAATAAATAAATTAATTAAAAAAAATAAAGTCATTTCCACAAACCCTCATTAAGTGACTTCTGCTTTTATTTTATTGGACAAATGGAGTCACATGACACAGTAGCTAGAAAATTGCTAGGGAGTGAGAAATACATGAGCAGGCTTTGGGTCAACCAGATTTTGCATGTATGTTTGAGTTGGCTGTGAGATAACTAAGAGAAAATATCAAGTAACCAGTTGGACAAGGGGTCTTTATCTCAGAAGGAAGTATCATATCTTTGCTACCTTTCTCTCCCAGATGGGCTGAAATGCAAAATGATAAGTGAGTTGTAATCTAGCCCTGCAAAGCATGTTCCTATCTGCTTGGGGGACTGCAGGGCTTGATCATGATTGCTAACACAGTGGCAGCTGAGTCTGAAGGTTGGGCTAATGTAGACAGACTGAATTCTGGAGCTGTTGTTAGGATTGCACATCACAGCAGACATGGACTGCTGTTACAAAACTTACCAGAGCCAATTCGTTATCTCTGAGCTGAGATAATGAAACAATTATACTCAGTGTGTAGATCAGAGTTACACTAAAGTTAGACTGGCCAAATCCAGTCTAATTTTGTTTTGTTTAAAAACTTATTTATACATACAAGAACTGGGGTATAGGCTAGAGGTGCAGGGGGTGAGAAGATTCACCAGAGACAGAGTGGGGAACAGAACAGGCAGATCTACTGAAATACACTGTTGGGGGGAGCAGAGAGCAAGACATGAGAGGTCTGCTGCACCATGTGGGTTGCTCCCTGGCCTGCCAGGGATCAAACTTGTGTTGCAGAGGCTGCGGACAGCTTCAGAGTGCTATGCTTAACCACTTGTACCACGAGGGAGGCCCACCAGTCTAATTTTGTAAATAAAGTGATATTGGAATATATGTGTGCATATTATCTATGGCTGCTTTTGAGCAAAAAAAGAAACGTTGAGTAGCAGAAACAGAAATATGGCTTATCGACCCTAAAATATTTATTCTTATAGACCATAAAATATTTACTACCCTTTATAGTAAAATTTCACCAATCCATTGTAGATCATGCTTTTTTTGTTAATACTAAACTAATAACATTATATGTAGACTTTATATGACATGTGAGGGATTGTTTGTATTTGAATGTACTATTTCATATTAGAGTTCACATTTATCCCCTTGATTTCTTTCCTCTGGAGAACTTCCCTTTTCTGCTTGTCATCCTATCAGAGGTTTTTGTGAAATTTGCAGGCTCAGGTGACTAACAACAGCTCGTGGAATTTCTCCTCACAGCTTTGCCACATTCCAAAGGGAAAACTCTGCCCAGTCATCCTAAAGGGAACCCTCAGGCAAGGAAAATATTGTTTAATACTTAGCTTTTAAGATCCATTAAATGTCAGTGTTCACAGTAACTATTTAATAGGATATGCTATATAGGTTTCCCCAACTTGTTTGACCATGAAACCCAGTTGACATACAGTGCGTGGTGGTGCAAAGGGTTAAGTCGCAGAACTATGAAGGTATCATCAGCCATTGCAGCATGAGTTTGATCCTTGGCCACCACTGCAGCACGAGTTCGATCCCTAGCAGGAAGATAACCCACATGGCACAGCAGACCTCCCCTTAGCAGTGTATTTCAGTGTATCTGCCTGATCTGCTCCCAACCCTGTCTTTGGAGAATCCTCTCACTAACCCCCATACTGGCCTATACTCCAGTTCTTGGATGCATACATAAAAATACATCTTTAAAAAAATAAAGTACCTTCACTGACCATTGTTCTATAGAATATTTTTGGTAAACACCAACTTAGACAATCATCTGTTTGACGGACAGACTGTGGACTAGATGATTTTTTCCAGGGTTCTTTGAATAATGTAACTCTAGGTCATGAGAAGGTCTTTACTAGTGTACTACCTTGAACTCACTTGAGATGAGCTATAAAAACTGCTCGGGCAGGTGAGAAAATTGTCATGCAATGGATATCACTGGACTTGGAGTTATAAGAGATAGAAGGTAGGATCTTTCTGCTGGCTTATTGTTCTTGTTACTAGTTTTTTTTTGCTAACTAGTTTAACTAACTAGTTGTCATCTTAAGGAAGTTTCATAAGTTATCTGAGTCCCAGAATCCTGAGCTATAAAATGTGAATCACACTACCTATCTCAAGAGCTGTATGATGATTAAATTATTATAGGCATATCATACATACACACGTGTGTGTAACCATAAACTTTAATACCTATTATAACTGAAAGAAGCAAATTCTAGGTTTTTAAAAAAGTTAAGAAAAAGGATGTGAAAATTTTATTTAGATTGGCCTTACTGTAACATTGTATTTTTTATAAAATAATTTTATATGAGTCCGTCAAGATATTATATAGAAAATACACACTAAGGTAACATATATACACTTCATAAAAATAGAATACATCTTGGCAATTGCTTCCAGAGTCTGTTACCACCATGTACAGTGTATTGACGTTTAACATTAATGCTAATTTGAAGATGAGATTTTCAAGAAAAAGAAAACTGTCCCATTGATATTTTAAAAAATTGTTTCCAACTGACAGGAAAAATTCTTAAAATGCTGGAATGTAAAAGTTATGGAGCTAAATGCATGGAAGTTTATATCAAAATCTTAGAGCAAAGATCCACGCCATGAGTGATCATCTGAGGACAAAGTCTTATTTTTTCCTATTATCATAAATGATTCAGTTAATTTCACAAAGTCACTGAAAATAATCTCCTTATTTTGGATGTTCAATCAGAGTAAGTAAGCACCATTTGGGATTAAAGAAAAAAAACTTTCTAGAAGCTGCACTATATTTCTAAAATGAGCTGTGTTTCTGTTTTTCCTGAAAGTAAAATTAGGTGTACAAGTCCTACCATAAAATATTAATACTTAAAAAAAACCTTCATGTGTTACTCAATCAACTTTGAGCAAAGCACACAGCAACTGGTTTATTATTCTAAAAATGATCAAATGCTCAAAAATCCACTGGACTTTGAATTTTTTTAAAGAAGATAATCTGAGCTATGAAGCTACCATAAAATTTAAAACATCATTGATTTGTCCTGTTAGATGTTCAGAATGATCTTTGGAAAGTAAATGCTCCAGTGTAATAAATAAAGAAAACAATAAGGGACTTTTCTAGACCTTACCAAAAGATACTAGCATGGTGGGATCATGAAATACCTCAGCAGTACCAAGGAAGGCATGCGGAACAGAGCATAGCACCATTTTCAAGTTGCTGACATTGCAACTGTTCAGGAGACAGTAATCTGGAAGGGGACTTGTTCCCATGATTAATGCAGTTTAAATATGTGGAATAGGCTTTGGAGACTTTCTTAGTATGGATAGGCAGACACAGCTATATAGACTATGAATGTGGTCTGATACTCGATGGTCCCGTTGGCACTGTAGGATAAGGCTCGAACCCGCATGCGGTAGGTCTCTGGTTCTCGCAGAGGTCGCGTGGTATAAACCACACCTTTCAGGTTCTCATCCCTTAAGGCAAAAGGAATAGCCTGATCCTCATCGACCATGAGGAACGTTGTCCTGGGATGCATCACTCCATCCTGCGTGTATGCAACCAGCCGGATTAAATCTTGATTGGCTGCTATTCCAAATGGGAGGGAGACCAGTTTGTATTCCAAGGCATATGGACTCAAGGCACATTCCAAATCATTGGGTGGACAGTTTTTGAGGCAGAACCTAAGGACGACAAACACATGAAGTGCATATAGTTATCTGGGTTGGAAGCAGGAGAAACATGAGGCAGGTGGTCAGGATCCTTGACAACTTGGAGGCATTAAAGGCAGGAGACAGTCTGACTGTGAGAACCACAGGCTCACCCCATGTTCTGGGTCATTAACTCAAGCCAGATGCCAGATGGCTAGGAGAGTACACAGCTCAAACAGCAAAGAGCGTCTCTCAGCTTCATTAAAGTCAGCAGCTTTTGAACCACTAAAGTAAGCAAGAATACCACAAGGGTGTCTTTAAAATGAAAAGTCAGTTTTGGAAATAAAAGCATCTGCACATATATTGGAAACAAGTACTTCATCAAGAGAGGAATACCACTTATTTTAAGATTTTAACATTTATCCTGTGATTTTTTTTAAAACTGAAATAGAATATCTTGTTGCTTAGTTAATTTTTCTAAAAAGAATAAGAGGAGTTCTGGAAAGAAAAGTTTCATTTGCATTTGATTTCCATACTATTTTAAATGAAAAGTACTATATTTTCTTTTACTAGTGACTATACTGCCTGGTTTTGAGTTATTGGAACTTTTAAATTATCTGCCAGAAATCACTGGTAATAAAGAGTAAAATTAAAATAATGCACAAAGGACCGTTTTCTGAAGATACGGATACTTCAGTCATAGTATTTTTAGAAGTTTCATAAGTCTATATTTTTAATTTTTTTCCCTTTCCCCTTCCTATTCCTCTGGACACTTATGAATAGGCTTTGGTGGATCCTGGACAGTTCGCACTTGACTGTGTTACAGGAACTTGGTGTCACTGCTGAGAGGAAAAACTAAGTGTGAGCTCTGGCCAGCATTTGGTTTCAGAAACACCTTATTAGCAGGGCCTATTCATGATGACTGTTTTATCTGTTTCACTTTCTTAACTGGGTGCATGAACAGAGTATAACATTCCTGTAAGGGGAGGGAGAATATAGAAAAGTGGGTTATTCAGAACCCAGAAAAGACTGTTTCAGACAGAAGGAACAGTAAGCAAGATGGTGCAGGGATGGGCAGACGACTGACTCATCCTTGCTCATATTCATCTCTCATGGTGTCACCACCAGTCATCACACTAATAGCCAAGGGCTGTCTTCACGGTCTAAGTGCTGAGGGCCTTAACACCTGGAGGGAACTTGAGGGAAGCTAGAAAATTGCAAAGAAGGGCAGGTGCTGTCAGTCCATGAAATGGTCACTGCTGAGACAGAATTCTAGAAGTTGAAGATGGATTACATGCTGGGAGATGGCCCCTGAAGCTTTGGCAGCCAGAGTGATAGTTTAGGCTGCAGACGTCTCATTTCTTGCCCAGTCACTGAGGAAGGAACATGCTTGTAATCCCATTTGCTCTGAGGTTATTTACTTCCTAGGAGGTCAATATGACCACAGACAGGGTTTGTTGGTTAAGGAGAGAGGAAGGATTTCCAGAAGCATGTCTGGAAAGAGAAGGCAAGACATACCCTGAGACAGGATCCCGCTGGTAGTTGGGTGGACAGGGCGTGTCGATGCACTGGTAGCTTCCTCTCATGTTGAAGCACATGTGGTTTGGCCCACAGCGCACATTCTGCTCCAGACACTCATCGACATCTAGGGAAAGACCAGGAACATGCAACATCAGTGCCTGGGCAGAACCTGCCACTGGGGCTCTATCTCACTGGAGTGTGAGGGCTAGTCTTCTCATGGATGAGCTGGGTAGTGTGCCTAAGCTTCTTTAGCCACAAAGTGGGAATTGTGCTATCTGGTGTGCTGGTGTTCTAGAATGCTTTGGGGATTTTTTTTAAACATGTGAAAAATAACAGTTATAAGAGTAGAAGGGAAGTTATTAAGGATTCTCTGGTGTATTTTAATTTGGAAAAGTGTGCATTTGAGCTCTGCAAAGCAAATAATACTTTAAATTTACTAAGAGCCAGCTAAAAATCTTTCAGAACACTTGTGAACAAATTTTGTACAATAAATCTTAAGAATATGAGGATTTTCTTTTATAAGTTCAAATTATTGTCTGGGAAGTAGAAATTAAAGGAATTGACTTATAAATTTAGGGGAGAATGTATAGGTAAATGAGATGTTGTAGAAAGAGACAGAATGAAGAATAAAACAATGAAGTAAGTGACCCAATATCCACAATTCAAGTTTGCTCAAATCTGAACTGTGAGGATTCCATCCTCAGTTGTTACAGCAATGAGGGCAACTAGAGCTTCTTCCTGGGGTAGTAACTCTCCCTAGGGAAATGGGAAAGCTTGCAAATGAAATAGTCTTCATTTTGTTGTATTCTGCACAAAGGGGTATGTGTGCGTGGTGTGTGCAAGCACAATAAGTGCTGGGGTGGTAGGGAAAATAGTGAGATGGAACAAGATTGAGAATGATAGATTTTCTAGAAACATTTTCCACGGAGTTCAACAAAATTTTTAAGGGATTTTGAGATCTCCAGAGTTAAGAACCATATTGTAGAGGAACTTTTTTTCACACTGTGGTATCTGTATTTCCTTGGTGAAAGCCTTCCAGTAGTATGACAGCAGGCAAATATTTTCATCCAGATCCTCATTTTCTGTAAGTTCTCCTTCCAAAAAATAATCTGCCTGAGAACTTCTAGTACATGGAGATTTCCTTTCCCATTTTACATGCCCACAAAAGTTTTCTACTAATCCTGAGTCTTTTTACCATACCCAGGAACAAAATGCTTCGAGGCACACATGAAGTGTGGGAACACTGGAGCACATATTGATGGAGGCAGCCCTTATTTCATCACATCAACAGGCCAATGGTCATAGGTCTCTATTTTAAATTAGATTTCAAAAGTGAGCTAGCTGGTTGTTGTGGGGACAACTAGTAATACTTTTATTTGAACAGAAAAGTGATTGTAGACTTTTTCCAACAGTCAACATGGTTGGTTTGGCAAGGAGTACAGACTTAAATTATATATATATATATATATATATATATATATATATATATATGATGGTCACACTTCATTGGCTGAGGGAGGTAAATCTGCAGTTTCAAAATTTTGCACATCAAGCAACAATGCCAGAATCCACATCCTTCACAATTATTTAAACCTATGATAAGAAACTTCAGAGGTCAGTTTTAAAAGGAAGTATTGGTTAAGTATAAGGTTTTCAATGCTCTTTTTAGAGTAGACCAGCAAAACATTTGAAGACTCCTTATTTAGAGAAAGTCTGTCAATTGGCTGCATAGAGGCACCTAAAACATTTTCCTTCTTTAGCATCTGAATAAACATGGATCCTGACGTACAATTACAATTAATCGGACCCAAATCAGTTTTCAGAAGAGATAGGTTTTAAAAGTCAAATGTACTTTAAAAAAAATATTTATTTATTTATGTATACAATAACTGGGGTACAGGCCAGAGATGAAGGGGTGGGGAGGTAAGAGGATTCATCAGAGACAGAGTGGGGAACAGAACAGGCAGAATGACTGAAATACACTGCTGAGGGGAGCAGTGGGCGAGTCAGGAGAGGTCTGCTGTGCCATGTGGGTAGCTCCCTGGCTGGGGATTGAACTCGTGCTGCAGTGGCTGTGGACAGCTTCATAGGCTGTGTACTAACCCCTTGGGCCACCAGGGAGGCTCTCAAACGTTCTTCTACCATGGAATTGGTGCCAAGATGAATGGGCATGTGTAACTGTGATGTTATTTCACAGTAATAAGCAAATTGGTAGCTGCATTATATAGTAAATGTCATATGATGGTATTTATTAGATTTGGATTAAAGTTGTGAAGTTCTTTTCTTAACTCTTAAATAACTTGAACTATTGCTATAAAGAAAAGAACAGGAGATAAGAAATTCCCAAAGACAGTATATTATCAAAGGCAGTGTCAATTTTTATTTTTGAAAGAATTTTAATAGATAAAAATAATTAGGAAAGATATATGCACCTCTATTTTCATTGCAGCACTGTTCATTATAGCCAAGATATGGAAATAACCCAAGTGCCTGATGATTGATGATTGAAGATGTGGTACATATACACAGTGGAATGCTACTCAGGTCATTTTGCCATTTGTGATAACACGATGGCTTTTGAGGAAATTTTGTAAGCAAAATAAGTCAGAATGAGAAAGACAAATGTCACATGATTTCACTCACTGTGGTGTATAAAGAAAAGAAAAAGTAACTGAACAAACAAAACAAAAACAAACCCTTGCATTTTGACAACAAAATGGTGGTTACCAGTGGAAAATAAAGGAGAAGGAGTGAGGAGAAAGGCCAAGAGGTTGGTGGTGGATGGACTAGACATTTGGTGGTGGGCATAGTGTGTACTGTGGCAAAAAGCTGCACACAAGAAATCTCTACCATGTTGTAAACTAATTTTTTCATAATAAAAAGAAAAAGAAAATAGTGAGCATTTTTGTTTGTTTCTAAATGTATTGTTTGATAAGGAAATAGAAATGTAATTAATGATTTACTTTAAATGTAAAAGTAAAAAGTAATTTGGAATAAATTACTTACTTGGCTTTTTAGTTAGGTGTATTGACAAGTTTCTATTACAAGTTTCTCTTGCTAGTTTTACATTAGAACTACAGGAAAGGAACACAGGGTGGAAAAGTTTTTATTTCATTTGTCTTTCCTATTGTCTTTGTGAACCAATTTTAAATTAAGACTTTATCTGTCAAAAATGCTTCATGTCTGACAAAATAAGATTGTCTCAGAATGAAGTGAAAAGTTCCCTAGGAAAATGTGAAAGAAATGTAATTAGTCTTATCTTCTTTTATCTCATTAACAAAAGTAAAATTAATCATGATAATACATTCAGTTTAATCCCAAATAGCCAAAATGTTATTTTGATAGGCAGTGAATATGAAAGTTATTAATAAGATGTTTTCCATTATTTTTCATGTTTATTTTTTGAAGTTTGGGGTGTGTTTTATATTGACAGCCCATCTCAGTTTAAATAATAAACTCTCCAATAAAATATATTCCCACCAAACAATACAGCTGTGCTTAATGGAAAAATAAACCAGAAAAGATGGAGAAATGTGCTGTCTTCTGTTAACTGACAGTGTGGTGATGTCTGGTTTTTATTAAATGTTATAAGAAAATTATTATGATAGAAATTAAAGTATAAGCATTTTATAACATATTATTGCTAGATAGAAACAATACCAAGGTGAGTTGAAAAACTATTATATAGCTTAAGAAGGAACATATAAATGTATTTAATCAATGCTTTCAGATACATTAAAAATATGACAAACATACTTGAAACATTTATCTTATATACAGAAAAAACAGAGCAGTTCAGATTGACAGATATTATGAATTACTTAAAAAATACGACAGAACACATTTCAAATACAGTGCCAAAAGGTGTTTCTAAATTTTTAGAATAAGATGCTTAAATTTAGCAGAAGGATCCTTTATTTTTTTCTGTCTCTTGGGAAAATCACAATCAGTCATGATCTTTAGTTTTTCATTTTTCAGTCTGGTGACTTGCACTTGTGACTAGACTCTGTTCTTGTTCAGTGTCAAATTCACTTTAATTTCCCTTTTATTAGTGGCATTTTTATTGCTAATGTAAAAGCTCCAAAAATGCATATATGAATGAAAAGCAGTCTTTTGTTCCCCATAAATGCCTCAAACACTTTCTAAAGCTATAAAAAGAACTCCAAGTTATTCTTTAGAGTAAAGACTTCTTTAAAGGACATAATTGTTTTCTCTCATGTTTTTTTTTAAACCACAAAATATGTAACCCATTTAAATTGCAAACATTTCAAATGCCACCTGTTTCTGATTTGTTCTCATTATTTTCCACTCTCTGAAGCACAACCAAACGCTAGAAAAGTTTTGAACTGAATGAGTGACAAGAGCAATTAAAAAACTCATTGTCATATGTTAGAAAAGAAGAAAAATCTTCTAATGAGAAAATGACATAATATAGCCTTAAAATTTCTGGCTAAGGTGTTTTGTAGTCTAGTTGGCTATTCCAAATGCTTCAGAATATACCCGGCTTCCTTCCTTGGTGCTGATATAACTCTAGGCAGTGTAGTATTAGTGCTGGCATTGCCACCTCTTCAGAAGGATTCTTAGGATGAAGAGTGAGGCAAAATTATGAAACATGGACAATGTAAATGACCTCATCTCTCCTTGATGCCACAGGGAACTTGTGTCCTCAGCACCATAGGATGATAGAGATAATAAAGGACAATTCTAGACCTCATGAGAATTGAGATCAAGTACTATCTTTGCTCTTGATTATTCTATGACATTGAGGCTCTCGTGATAATCCCTCTGAAAACTAGTTTTATTATCTGCAAAATGGATACTTAACTATTGCCCTAACAAATTTGTATTGATTAGAATGAGGTAACACTCATTTTCAAAAAGTGTACAAATATAATGTTATTCTAATACTTGGAATCGCAGCATAGTTCTGTACAGGGTGAGTGCTTAATAAATATTCGGTCACTGACAACTAGAAGCAAAAGCCGTCATTGTGTCCACTTTCCTTCTGCAGCCAACACAATCCAATGGGGGTTCTTGGGGACTATGAATGTAAGAATGGGGGGGTGCATAGGGAGAAACTCCTCTGCTCAGGTGAAACCATCCTCTCCCCTGGTTTTACCTCCAGGGACACTTTTTTGCTGAGGGCCCTACTAGTTAGTCTTTTGTGGATCTCAAGAGAGGGAAAATTCAATTACTACTGAAAAAGCACTTGTGGAGATTTAACTTTTAAACTTTAGAAAGCGAGAATTTGTATATGACAAAGACATAAAATTTAGAGGCTTATTAAGACCTACAGAATACTCCTAGATTTTTAAGATTTTTACCATACTTAAAAAAAAATCTAAGTACATATAACAATACAATAAACCTCATCAAACTACAATGTTCCTTTCACATTTTTGTGTATAGAGGGTACTATTAGATCGATATTGTTTTCTATCACCCTATATATTGTCCAAAACTGCTATAGTATCCATAAATTTGTATGTTGATTATATACTTGTTGGCATGTGTTTCCATTAGACTAAGATCCTAAAGGGAAGAGACTATAGATTATTTATTTGTTCAAACTTTTTACATCCTGCTATGCTAGCATAGGCGTATTTCTCATTTATGGACTTAAAGAATGAATGGATTATCTGGTCCATTACTCACTGGTCACTAAGACAAAGTACAAAATAATGCCTAACCCTGCAGTAAGTTTACTGAGCACTCTTTTCATTTTCCCTTCCATCTTAGCTGAATGTGAAAAAATATTTGAAAAGGTCTATTTCTATTTAGTTCTAATATATATATATATATGTAACATATAGGTACATATACCTATATGTTACATATATATGTTATATAACATATTTATAATATACTATATATAATATTATATATGTGTTATATATGTTATATAAAATACATTGGTTTGGTTTAGACTTTCCTGCTTCTACTAGTATGGTCATACCAAAAATACTTATTAATTTTTTCCTTTGCATTTTTTATTTCCTTCTTACATGCAAATCCATGTTTACAGATAGGTCTGACCAATGGAAACAGGGAAGAAGAGAACAACTAGTAGCCCGGTTCTTCAGAAAGAGGGAAAACACTTCATATCTCACATTCTATGATGTCGATTTCAAATAAAATTGCAGCACTAAACATCCCACCATTCTCTCACCTTGACATGTCTTTCCATTGAGCATGAGTTGATAGCCAGGTGGGCAGATACACTGATAGCTTCCAAATGTATTTTTACACTCATGTTGGCAGGTGTCTCTATTTTCACATTCATTGATATCTGTGCAGAAAGCAAGCAAAGCATATAACCATGCAAAACAAAGGTAGAGAAGGTGGCAGAGACAACTATAAACAAACAAGTTGATACAAAGTAGAAAAGCATCTTAGTGATTTTACATACACATATTTACACATTCCCAAAGTTGTTTATTTCAGGATCTGAAGAAGAAGAAGCCCAATATAATCTGCACTATGTTATCAAATGTGGACCTCTCTTTTGTGTATGAGCATGTATAAGCTGAAGCCCCAGTCTGGATAATTTCTACGTTAGTTAAAGAGGTGAAACTGGAATAACAGAGGAAACTGATTTGTATAAGATCCTAAGCCAACAAAGTACAAAACTATCAATAGAAGAATAGAAGTTACCTAAAAGATACAGCTTCTATTGGGATTAATAGCAAAAAGAAATATTAACTTTTATTTAAACTTTAGCTATGTCTGTGTCCCTACACCCTCTTCTCATTATCCATGAATAGCTTTTCCATATACAGATATCATCAAGGTGGAAGTGTTTTTATATTTTGTGATTGGGATATTTATCAAACTTTATGTAATGGTAAAGCACTAATGACAACTACATTATCTATCTATCTATCTATCTATGCTAATACCTTGGACAGGCAACTTAACTCCTCAAGACCGCAGTTGTATTGATACAATCTCCCTACTTCACAAAGCATACTGGAACTTCAAATGCAGTAATGTATGGGAAAGCATTTTATAAGCTATAGAGTTATCCATCTGCTACTATTAAGCCAATAAAATGGCAATAAAAAAGGAGAGTGAGACGACATGCTAATTACAAATTAATTGAATATGTGATGTTATTTGTTGAATATGTGATGTTATTTGGGAGGCCTCAGATTTCTTGCCCCAATTGTGTTTTTGTTTTGATCAATATTAGAATTTGCACACAATTCCCGAGTACAAACGAACCAGTGACAGATGAGACGATCAGGACATGAACTGGGAGTAGGCGTGCTGGAGGATGCAGTGAACAGAAGACCAAGTGAAACCTGGGAGATGACTTAGAGCAAGAGGGTCTGTTCACTTTGAAAACTTTGCATAAGCTCACGATATTACTGCAATGATTCAGAATCTGTTAATGATAAATGCTGATCAAATATTTGTCAGTGTTTTTAACCCCATTTTAATTAGCCGAAACATTCATTCCAGAGCTTGGTTGAATTATTTTTACGTTTTCCCTTTATAATTTGCTTTGACTAAAAATAACAAAATTATGGGGAACTCCAAATAGTCAATATTGTATTTCCAAGAGCATGAATTTTAAAGTGGTCCCAAGTGTTACTTTTGCATCCAGAAGCAATGAAATGCCCATTTTTTTCCTGTTAAGTTTTGGAATCAATGTCTTAAAAAGATACATTTTAGCCCCAATCCAACAAGATTTCCTAGTGCTAATTTGAATCTTTTGTAAGATGTCTATCCCAGATGGTTCATTAAAGGCATTTGGTGTTTATTATTATATAATTCAACACTGTCTGCAGTCATAGTGTAAATTTTTTTTATTGGTACCAATACTATAAAATACTCACCATATTTTAAAAACTGCTTCTAAATGTTGAAGACTTAATTCTCCAAAATGAAACTTAAATAGCCAGTAGTTGACTAGTTGTAAATGTTTATGTTAGATTCTCTAAGATTTACCCTTGCTTGGAAACAGTAGCTACCCTCAAATAGTGGATGGTTTAGGAAAAATAATGCTTGCAAACATAAACAACATGTAATATAAACACAAAGACATAGAATAAATACATTTATAAGACTATGATGAAGCTACAGGGCATAGACAGCAGTGAAGAAATTGAACATTGGGCTATTAGAGACACATTTTTTAAATGATAGGGCCCTTCAGATGATTTACAAGAAATCAGTCAGATGGTGTGTGGTGTGTTAGGGTGGTGTTTGTTCGTTTATCATAGCAAAAAACACAGATATGGGGGCAGGGGAGTTAAGACAGCAGCATAAAAGAGACTGTTTAAAAGGAATGTAGACAGTAGGACTAGTAAGATATGGAAACTCTTCAGTGGGAATGATGATTTCGAAGGATTGAAAGACAGATTGTCTGATAGTAATTCTGTCAACAGAAGAATAAAGTCTTAGCTAACAGAGTAAGATCAAAATCATGGGTATGAAAGATTCCCAAAGAGTTTTGAGCAGATGGATGTATTAGCTTGTTTGATGGATGGATGCTGTCTGATGTATTAGTAAGGATAATGGAATAGAGTCCACAAGTTTAATTATTAAATAGTGTTTAACCACATGAAGCATATGTAGAGAGTTGTTAATGGGTGCAAAAATGCTTGAAGTTTAAAGAGTAAAAGAAATGATCTGTCTCACTTCTGGGAAGCTGATCACATCAGAAAAATTAAATTTCAAGTATATCAGGACATCTAGACAGAAATGGACCCAAAGAAAAAAGATTAAAGTTTAATTATCCAGAGTTTTTGAGGGCCCAATGAGTAGAAAAGATTTGAGAAGCTGGGTTCACCTAAGAGTGGAAGCACTGAGAAGATGATGTGCAGGAACATTGCTTCCACAGGCTAAAGAAATGATCAAAACTGAAATCTGAAAATGAAGGTGTTTTGAAATGTATGATAGAAGTGCTTAACAGAGTCCATATTTAGGAGAGAATAAGCAAAGTCTAGAACACATAAAAATGCAGGAAAATGAGGTTGGCATAGAGGTCTTCAAATTTAACAAAGATTTCTTTCTTTCTTCCCTCAGGCCTCCACCGTTCTTTTTTTCATTTATCTAAAGAATAGTGGGGTTAATTCATTTTTGCTAATTTCTCCTTTTGAATAGCTTAATAACATGCAAACTGTGGACACTCACAGAAAATGGAATTAAATGAGTGACAGATGGCAATGTTTGCAATTTAACTGAAAACAATGTCTCAATTTTTGTGTTGGAAATCACTCCTCCTTGTGCAAAGAAAGTACAGACTTGTGGGCATGGATCAAGATACTGAAAGCAGGCTTTTAGAGTGATGGAAGCAACTTAATTTTGTCCTGACTCACATTATCTTTTCAGTGATTTACATATATATGAAATCATTGAACTGAGAAATACTATGGGAAGTGTTGTCATATAAACAGCAGTTGAGTGAGTAGCTGGAACTTCCATTTTTAACCCATTGCTTTGGTATCAATCAGATACAATCACAATCTGATGGTATTCAGTAATGTGACAATATGCATATTCTCTTAAAAAAACAGTCTGGATATTTCTCTGTAACATTACATTTACTAACACTTCCAGGGATGATCAAAAGAGAGAAACTGTTAATATAAAACAATAAGTGATTAGAATGCACACATGTTAACACATCATTTATTTGAATAAAATTTGTAATAGTTTTAGATGCTAGAGTAAATGTCTTGAAACTGAGTGATCCAAGATTTGGGATCAGATATAACTCACTGCACCCAAGCGATAAGCGGTGCTGTACATATGCTGCTGTACATATGCATACACGCTGGTTCCTAAGGGAGCCCATAGAAAGGAAATGTAATATGGCTGACATTTACCTACACAAGTGTCATGGCTCGCCTCCGAGCCTTCGGGGCAAGTTTTCCTACTAGTCCTTCTAGTCCTGGAGAGAGCTGTCCTGCTGTTTCTATACTCTGAGTAGGAGCTGTAGAGATGTGAGTACTGTCTGTAATGCTGTTGAGGTTGATAGTTGTTTCTCACAGGGGAGAACCGAGCAAGGTTATAGCTATTGTACTGAGTGCCATAATTTGGAAGCCTCTCCAATCCAGCGCAAGATTTCCCGTCCCCTAATAAATGTTGTCCTGGTGGACAGACACACTTGAAGCTGCCGGGGGTGTTGGAGCACTGATACGCACAAGGTTTAGGCACTTGGTCACATTCATTAATGTCTGCTCGTGTGCCATGATACATAAAAAAGAGAAAAAAAAAACACACATACACACACAAAACACAGGAATAAAGAATCAGTCTGTGAAACACACTGAGGACATTATGTTACCCTCCAAAGTCAGGAATACAAGTTATTTCTCAATTGCTATGAACTTTTGAGAAAGGTTTAATCGTTTCAGTTATGAATACATAAAAAGATTCTGTGACTCTCCCTCAAGATTGCTCCACATGTACAAAAGAACGTAAAAGGTCACATGGGAAAATGTGGTCTTGAATCCAGACAAACTGGAGTTCAAAGCTAGTAGAGAGCTTAATTCTGTTGGTGGAGGAAAGAACTCAATTGTGTCTCAAATTTGCACTGATTATAATATTCCCCCCCCGGATACATTTTTAGTTTCCTCACTTGTTTGGAAAATAATTTCTTTCTAGAACCAAATTGGTAGAGTTAAATAGATTTTTAAAATACATCTGTATACCCATATAATGAAGTCATTATTGTATTAAAAAGAACATACACATTTTCCATTTAACTTAATTCAATAAACTTTTATACCAACCATATTACAGGCAATATTTTGAAAGCATACATAGGATGGCGAATGCTCTGTCCCTGCTTCCAAAGGATGTAGCCTAGTTAATTACAGAATCACTCATAGCCTCTTTTGTACAATTACAAGTTTCAGGGGGCAGGAATATGGGTATGATTACAAATCTTTTCATTTGCTTTTGTCTCTTGAATCAACAATTAATTCATAATTTTTAATTAATGTTTTCAATTAATGATCAAAACAAGCATTTTTTTTTTACAAAAGATTAAAAAGAAGGGAATGAAGGCACAGAATCATTTATTACTAAGATAAAAACCTCATAAAATCCATTAAATTAAAGAAAGTTATTTTTTTCTATCCCTAGGTCAACACAGCATATGTATTCACAACTCTCTTTATAAATTGGAAAAATAAATGAAAACCCGAGATCAAACCCAAATCTTTTATTAATTACCAGAGCAGCACACAAAAAAACAACATGAATAAGCAGGGTAAAATTAGTAAATTTAGCTTTAAAAATTAGTTCAGGAAGCAAAAGTTAAAATTAACATTTTTAATCTCTTAAAAGCAAAGGTCCATCATTGATTTACCCCAGCCCCATATCTAACACTCAATTTCTGGTCAAATTTGTAAACAAATAAACATATTTCACTCTGCTATATCCCTCTTATGACATGTTAATTATATAAAAATTATAATATGTAAAGACAGTATACAGTAAGTGATAATAATTGTTATCATTTGAAATGCCAGTGTCATTTGAATTCAACATGAAGTCTCTGAAGAAGTCAAATTATGTATTAAACCAACTTAATCTTCCAATTATATTAAAGGAACATTGAGGAGAGAGAATGACCTGAAGCAAGTTGTTAGCTCATGTAACCATATTAGTAGTTTTATTACTCAATTTAAGAGTTCCTGTAGACTTACCCATACAGGGTCTTCCAAGTCCTTGAGACCGGTAACCTCTTGGACATACGCAACGGTAACTGCCTCTTGTATTTTCACATATCTGGTTATATCTGCACTGATGGGTCCCATCTTTACATTCATCAATATCTATAGACATGGGGGCAAATATAACATTTCCTCTTTCAAAACCTAAAGTCATTATACTGGAAATGAACATGCCTTAGAACTCTCTAAGGTTGCATTTCTCATCATGTGCTTGGGATTTCAAATCAGAAAACCTGGGTTCAAGTCCCAGTCCTGCCACTTATTAAGTGGTCCCATACCCCTTTTGCTTCTTACTAGTTTTAGTCTCAATGCTGCCCCCTCCCCCTTTATACTCCTTCCTCCTCTGACCATTCTGGAGTAATGACTTTAGCAAGCTTGTTGACCTAGATTTTGAGCAATAGTGTTACATTGCTTCTGGGTTAGAATCCCACATTTCCAGCAGCTAGTTGATCTACCCTATCCCCATTCTTTATCAATCCTCAGGGAAGAATCCTCAATCAGATTGCAAATATCAGAGCCATCTTTAACTTATACCCTCAGTTGCCAAGACTCGGTAATTCTGCTTCCTTTCATCAAACCCACCTATCTCCACCTTCCATTTCCACTTAGCTATATTTTTGCTGTAGCTTCTTAAACAGTTTTTGATCTCTCAGCCTATCTCATTTCTAATCCATCTGATACATAATTTCAGAACCAGTAGTCCTAAAAATGGTTACAGTGTAGATAACTGTAGATGATGTACCAAGTTGGCTGCTGCTGTTAGGAGTCAAGCATTTCTACTATTTCCATTCAGTTTTTGAAAAGAGTCTTTGAAATCTGATTGTCTCCCCTCCTCCTCAGTTTTCTTTTGAAGTGCACTAAACCTCCATGTATAAAACCTCAACAAATATTAACAAGTGGCCAATATCCTTTAATTTTTATCAATGCCCTTCTATATATCATATGAGAAGCATATTGTAATTTTATTAAAGCATTTTTCAGAATGAAAGATTTGAAATTGTCCCATTTTAAAAATGGGTCCATCAAATGGGATCCACTTAAAAGTGGGTCCAAGGCCTCCCCGGTGGTGCAGCAGGTTGAGCGCCGCACTGTGAAGCTGTCCGCAGCCTCTGCAGCACTGGTTTGATTCCCGGCCAGCCAGGGAGAAACCCACATGGTATGGCAGACCTCTCCTGTCTCGCCTGCTGTTCCCTTCAGCAGTGTCTTTGGTCCGTCTGCCTGTTCTGTTCCTAACTCTGTCTCTGGTGAATTCTCTTACCCTCCTGTGCCTCTGACTGTACCCCAGTTCTTGTATAAATAAATAAATCTTTAAAAAAATAAAAAAATAAAAATGGGTCCCAAATTTCTATGTCATCTAAAGATTTGTCCAAGGTCAGAGAGCTGTCAGGAAAGATGAATTTTATTTTATTTATTTATTTATTTTTTTTTTAGAAGGGTGTTTATTTTTTATTTTTTTTTAAAGATTTATTTATTTATTTATACAAGCACTGGGTACAGTCAGAAGCGCGGGAGGGCGAGAGAATTCACCAGAGCCAGAGCGGGGAGCAGAGCAGGCAGAAGGACTGAAGTACACTGCTGAGGGGAGCAGCGGGCAGCAGGAGAGGTCTGCGCGCCATGTGGGACCCTCCTCCGGTGGCCGGGGAGCAGCCAGGGATCGAGCCGGTGCTGCAGAGGCTGCGGGCAGCTTCGCAACCCAGTGCTCAACTGCTGCACCACCGGGGAGGCCCAGGAAAGATGAATTTTAATGCATTATCTCTAAGTCCAGCTCTCTTCCCTCACACAAGGCGTTCACTTTGTTTCTTTCCCTTTTCTACCTCCTCCACCATTTGAGGCTATATTTAATGGGATCCTTCTGTGATACCTCTGATAGACACTCTCATTAGATATCACCATTCTTTCATACAATTTTATCTGTACCTCCTTTATAGCATTTTACTTTGCCTCATTTTACAGATCTTTTTCTTTTTTCTTTTGGTGAAGAGAGTGGAATTAGCCAACCTATCCCATAGACTGTAAGTACCTGAGAACAGAATGAAATCTCTTTCATTTTTGTAAATTCTGCTGCTCCTTGCTTTACTAACTAGTGCAGACTGGTATAGAATAGGCGCGCAAAAAATACAATTAGGGAGAAACAGAGTTTACTTTATTGTCTGGTCAATGCTTGGACATTTCAACAATATTTAGTTCTAGTGAAGCTATATTTTGAACTTCTAATAGACCTCTACAAACATTACTTTTTTATCCCTCTCTCATGAAATTCTAAGCATAAATGCTAAGTTTCATATTAGAAGTATCAAATTATGTGCATACTGAACTAGGTAAACCAAGTGTGCAATTGTTGGGAGCTGAAATTGGTCATAAGTGTTCATGGTAAGCAGCTATCCCCTGGTATAACCATTATCTAGAACTAACCATACTAGAAATTGGGAGCGAAACACCTACAGCAAAGAGTAATTTCCTTGGTAGGTTATATTTACCCTAATCATTATTTTTTTTTGAATTGAGGTAACATTGGTTTGCAACACTCTATGTGGTTCACAGGCAGAGGCTCACACCTCTTCAGATACATATCTCCACACCACAGCTGCACCCAGGCTCCCACGGTCCACCATGACAGTCCCTTGGGCACCCTCCACACTTTGTTTTCTTCCTTCCTCCTCCCCATTGAATCATTAGTTTAAAAAATGAATGTCTTACTTGGCTTGTTGATGGTAAATGGATCTCAGTCATTAAAATAGTCACTCACCAATGCAGGTTCCATTTTCTGCCTTGGTCATTCCAGTTGGACAAAGGTCAATGCACTTATAGCCACCACGAGTGTTCTTGCAGTGCTGGTCTGGTCTGCACACATTCTGTCTGCACTCATTCACATCTGGATAAAAGAATAAAGGTAACGCATACTGAGAAACTAATTCCTTCCATTTCCCATAGAAATTATACCTCTGGACTTTAAGGATATCGTAAACTAATATAGATACTAAATGTATAATCATTATATAAAAGTGTTTACATTTCATGAAAGTTTGTAAAACATTTTATTTTAAAACAGAGTGATAAAATTCAAAATCAAAATATTACTTCACAGAGCTGGTGGTCATACCAACCACTTCCTTCTCCTAGGAAGATAAAAAATTATATATGTTATATATAACCTCAAGTATATACATCTGGAAAAAATTGGGAAGAAGGGGAAATTACCAACACAGTTATGTAATTGGAAAACAAAGTATACAAAATATAGCATTTGCTTCCATTTTGCTTTTTGTGTATAGATTATATAGCATAGTAGGTGTCCTATATATGAATCAAGTCTGGACATAGCATATTTACTAGACCAGACATTGTTAAGATGTTATCAAGATGTCGTTGCTTTTAATTTAAAGTCCATTCTTACCGATGCACTTTCTGCCTTTGAGCTGATATCCAGGTTCACACCCACAGTGGAAACTTCCTATGGCATTGAAACAGCGGTGGTGACAGGGGCTGGACTCCTGACATTCATTAATATCTGTTAAATAAAACAAAACTTTCATTGTATGTTGTTAGAACACCTGGATTAGTTTATCCCAATGTTTAACATTCAATGACCATTGATCATTATCATGTTTAAGATCTTTCCTACAACTAATCCAATACATCTGCTCCAGATGGTCTGCCAAGGCATTGACAGAATAAACTGCTGGAGAGGTTATCTCCCTTCAAGACTCCTCAAATATAGATTTTTGCTAATGACTCCAGAACTATATAACACACCTCTACTTTATTTTACCATATGGCTCCCACCCCTGTTTCTAGGAAGTTTCAGCTCTGGAATGGTGCTCACAGACAGGAATACTGAAGATGAGGCAGAGGCAGGGAGGAGGAATAGAAGAGGTGGAGGGTGTGAGACAGGGCAGGAAATGTGAAGGTCTTTCGCAATTGACCTTCCCATTTTTCCTTGCTATTAGTTTATTTGAGTCTTTATCACCTTACACTAGATTGGATGCAGCAACTTTACCATTTCTCCTTGTCTGTTGTCACTGCCAAAATAATTTTCCCAAACACCACCTGAGTCATAGTATAATTAACAAAGCCTAGACATGAACTCCCTAAACTCTTGTGCATTTACTTTTATTTATTTATTTATTTTTGTATTTTCTTCCCTCTCCTTGCCTCCAATCCCAGAGGAACAGAAATCTCTTCTCTTTATTTATTTATTTATTTTAAAAAGATTTATTTATTTATTTATACAAGCACTGGGTACAGTCAGAGGCATGGGAGGGTGAGAGAATTCACCAGCGCCAGAGCAGAGAGCAGAACAAGGCAGACTGACAAGTACACTGCTGAGGGGAGCAGTGGGCGGCAGGAGAGGTCTACGCGCCATGTGGGACCCTCCCAGTGGCTGGGGATCGAGCCGGTGGTGCAGAGGCTGCAGGCAGCTTTGCAACCCAGTACTCAACCGTTGCGCCACTGGGGAGGCTCCACTCTTCTCTTTTTTTAAAAAAAGATTTATTTTATTTATACATTCAAGAACTGGGGTATAGGCCAGAGGTGTGGGTGGGTGAGAGGATTCACCAGAGACAGAGTGGGGAGCAGAACAGGCAGATCTACTGAAATACACTGCTGAGGGGAGCAGCAGGTGAGACAGGAGACGTCTGCTTCGCCATGAGGGTCAGCTCCCTGGCTGGGGATCAAACTAGTGCTGCAGAGGCTGCTGATAACTTCATAGGGCTGAGACTTAACCACTTGCACCACCAGGGAGGTCTCAGAATTCTCTTCTCTTATTTAAGAAAAGTCCCTTTATTTGAACTTTCTAGATTTGCAGTCCTCCTTTTTATCCTCACCAACGTAAGGATTGTGGTCCCTCTACCATTCCCTCCTCTTGAGTGTTTTTCAAGTCTGTATATACATCGAATTTGTCCGATGGCAACAAAATTTGTCTCAAGTTCCTGCCACTTCTCTATTGTTTTGTTCCAAACCCCTCAAAAGAGTAATTACCATTTTTAGGCTCTTGACATCTCCATCTTGCATTCTCAAACCTGAGATTGCCAATATCTTATTTTGTACTTGTTTTCTACTTAAGGCATTTAATATTTCAAAAAATCTTCATGTGTTAGCATCAATGCACAAATGAGATGATATACTATTAAAAGATTTTCTCAGTGCAGTTTTCCTTTCTTTCTCTTTTTCTTGCCCCCACCCCTTTTTTATCCTTCATGCCAACCAAAGCCAATTGTTATTAGCAATCTATTATGAATAATAATGTATCTATTTTATGTACACACACACATACACATACACTCCTAAACATGCAAATCCATTTCCATTTTCTTAAGTTATTTTTGTTTTCCAGTCATCTTTTCTGCACAATTTGTATATATTTTCCTACATCTTGGTTTTGTCATGGAAATTCCTCTAAGCCAAACAACAGTGCTCCATTCCATTCCTCATAATGGCTGTACAATGGTTTATGGTGTGTATGGACCTAATCCCTTCATTCTTTCTACAATTGACTGGCATTCAGTTTTGTATCCAGTGTTTCTGCCTATGAAAAATTCTGGTAACAGCTTTATTTGCAGCTGCCAAAACTTGGAATCACCAAGATTTTCCTTAGTAAATGAATGGAGAAATCAACTGTGGTACATGCATACAATGGAATATTATTCAGGGCTCGAAAGAAATGTGCTATCAAATCATGAAAAGACATGAAGGAATCGTAAATGAACACTGTTAAGTGAAAGCAGTCAATCTGAAAAGGTCACATACTTTATGATTTCAACTATGTAACATTCTGGAAAAGGCACAAGTATGGAACAATGAAAATATCAGTGGTCACTAGAAGTTAGAGGGGAGTGAGGAATGAATAGCTATAACACAGAGGACTTTTAGGGCAGTGGAACTATTCTGTATATTTTAATGGTGGATACATATCGTTATTTATTAGTTAAAACCCAGAGGATGTATAACATCAAGAGTGAATTCTAATATAAGCTAGGGACTTTGGGTGATAAAGGCATGTCAGTGTAGGTTTATTGATAGTTACAAACATACTCCTCTGGAGTGGATATTGATAGTGGGTGAGGTTGTCCATGTGTGGGGTCAGGAAGTATATGGGAACTCTCTGTACTTTCTGCTTAATTTTGTTGTGGACCTAAAAATGCTCTAGAAAATAAAGCCTATTGAAAAATACTGTAATAAACACTCTGGTAGTCTTGTGCAATGGAATCTGATGAAATAGATTCTATTAGATCTTGTTATATAATCTCCTTTCTCAAAAATAGCAGGCAGATGTTATTCAAAACCACTATGCTACAAATATTTAAAATATCTGTGGACTATTACATCCAATATCAAGAAGCTTGAGCTACAAAACAGAGTTTACTGTAAATGATTTGAACGGCAGGAGGTCTTAATTCTTAGTATGATGAAAATGAAGGAGGGCTCCTGTTTTTTGTACCTTGACAACTCAGTCCATCAGAGGTTCTGCGAAAGCCAGTTCCACAATGGACCACACAGCGATAGGACCCGATGGTGTTGTCACAGTCCTGACCCGAATGGCAGCTGTGTCCACCCAAAGCACACTCATCAATGTCTGCAACATAGTGAGTCATTAAACTAAGATGAGTTGATGAAAACCAACTTAAAATCCTGCTGTGAAATAAGGGTAAAGAAGGCAATCAGCAGCACTGAAAAACATACAAGACTAGGAATATAGGATATTTTGGTTGGATCATTTCAGGTGGGTGAAATAGCTGACAAGCTTCCGGCTGAACAGCATATTTTGAGACCCACCCATGCACTAGATGAGGATGATAATATGGATCTCACATTAAAGGAAATAATATATTTAAGGTGCCTGATCCACAGGGAACATTCCATGAAAGAATCCTCCCTCCTTCAGTGTCCCCCCTCTTTTGCACTTAAAAGGGCAGTCGCTTGGGCATTGAAGGAAAATTCTTTCCTCTATCTATCATTATTTATTTATTTATGCAATTAAGTTCTTGCATAATTCTAACTGTAAAGTATACAAAATCTGGTAGAAAAGTGTTTTATTTTTATGCAGTTCACTTAACTTCCTTGTAACCTCTTGATGCTACAATTTTCTCATTGGAAAAATGAGTACATAGCAGTCCCGCCTGCCTCTCCATGCTGTGTCATGGAGGTTGAGTGAATCACTGCAGGCTGCCCTGCTCACTGGAAGTCAGTGTGTGAGCCGTGATCCTGTTATAGAGGCATCCTCATAAGGTGGGGGTGGGGTGTGTCCCAAGTTCCCTGTCCCCATTTACATTCAGTCACCTGAGACTAGCTACTGGGGTGGATGGCTGGATCCCTTTAGAGCATGCAAGCTTGGGGGCCCATGGGGACCCTTTGGTCATGTGCTAAAACTCTCTTTATTTTCAGTCTGATGAAGATCTTTTCTGCTTGTGACCAAGGTGCAGGGCAGAAAGCATAAGAGAAAAGCATTGGTCTGCTGCACTTTTTTAGGGCAGAATTGCCTTGAGCATTGCTCAAATGTGTGTATAGTCTTAGCTCTGGGAATACCTTGACAAGTTCTTCCATCTGCAGCTATGGTGAGGCCTTTCGGGCAGGAACAGTGATAGGTTCCCATGGCATTGTGGCAGATGTGGGAGCAGGGATTCCCTGAAGTACATTCATTTTCATCTGAAAGAAGAAACAGAGGTCTGATGAGCATGGAATCCTCCTACTAAGAGCAAAGTTGTAAGAATAGTTGGCTTAGAGACCAAGGAACTGAATCCAATGCAAATATAATAGAAAAATGCTCAAAGTACCACATAATGGAAACATTAAATAAAAATTAATTTAGGGTCCCCAAATTATATTTGATAGTAAATAGATGTTTAGGTTATTTCTAAAGCAACAATGATGACAGTTAAGATATAATTGCTATTTGCTGTGATCTAAATGCTTCTCAACTCATTCCTCACAAAATTCATAGGAGATGGGTATTTTTATTACTCTCCTCATTGTATGTGATTAAAAAAACTGAGAAACAAAGAGGTCCAAGGTCACAAAGGTCATGCCTGGCAGAGCTGGGATTTGACCCTGAGCAACACAGCTTCTAGACACACCACCTTTTGATCACTTTCCCACAGTACACGGCCTCAGCACAGAAAGGCAAGGTGCATACAGAGGTGAGCTCCTCCAGCCACTGATACAGCTACCTGCCGATCTGTGACTCTGTTGCACTGGTACTGGCATGTGAGGCCGCAGTCCTTGGCCCACACTCCCCCTATCTGATTGATCAAGTACAGAGATTGGTGGTTTAGACTGAATTATTGCTGTTTCACATCCAGAGTGCTCATCACCTCTGTGCTCCCTCCGGCCCAGTATTGGTCACTTCCGGACAGTTGATTGAGGTCAAATTGAAAGAACACTTGGGACTTCCTATCTGTCCTAAATTCAAATATGGTTCCCCCATCTGTAAACTGAGTGATCTTAAGTACTCTAACTTTCTATCTCGGTTTCCTCTCCTGTAAATGGGACATTCATAGGACAGTTATGATTAACTATGCTAAGTGAAATAAGTCAGAGGATATTGAATGGTTTCACTTATAGGTGGAACATAGGGAAACCAAACAAAGGGTCAGGAAAAAGACAAAACTTGCAGGCAAATGATAGACCTGAGGGATCCAGCAGGAACGGGGGAAGGAGAGGGGTCAAAACAGGGGAGGGAAGAACACAAGGGACTGTGGTGATATTATGGTGGTGGGAGAGCTATGGGGACTACATCTGAGGGGACAAATCAAATACTGTGCAAAAATGAATGATGTAAGAAAATAAAAAATAAATATCTAGCAAAACTGCCATAGAAGTGCATTAAATGCTATCCACATTCACATTTTTATAAAAACAAAAATGCATTATTTACATCTATACATACCAGAACAAAAGGGTCCAACTGAGTCTAAGGTGAACCCCATGGGGCACTGGTTACTTCGATCTCCTACCAGAGAGAAAAACAAGATTTACTGGGTTGTTAGAACAAGCAACTTGTTCCTTTCCAGTACAATCCTCCCTGGGAAGACATGCCAAAGACAGAACATCTAATGTAACAAACACAATAAATGAAAACAACAGGAATGGGAAACATTCCTAAATGAATCAGAACTAAAGGAATCATAGCCCAGAGACTGTTGACAAGCAGCCATTACAAACAGATTTTCTATTTAGGTTATTTACATTAATTGAAAGAAAATGAAATCAAATTATTCTGTGCTAATGGAAAAGGACCTGACATCGCTGAGCACGCCAGTCATAACCACAGGCAATAATCCTATTTTTCCGGTTAAGTCTTACTCTACTTGTTCTAGAAATAGAAATACTATTTCAAGCCACTTAATATGTGTCAGTGAAAAACTGAAGCTCTACTGAAGAGATCCTGTCCTTTCGTAATTTCTTCACCATGTGCAGTAGGGAGCATCTGGGTCAAAGTCCCCCTGTATGGCCAACAGTTTTCCTTTCCATGTAATTGAACCAATGGGAAACAGGTGTATATGTTAGAACAATTATAAGTTAGCTGTCAGAAATAAAACGTATTAGTAAGAATAATGTTAATTAGGCAATGATTTTCCTGAGAAAGTAAATAACTGTCTTGATTACAGTAGTTTTGCAAATATTTTTCAAACATTATTGACCTGCAGAAAGTTAAATAAACTCCTCTTTCAAATTACCAAAATAACCTCTCTCACACACACAAACACACACACAATTGCTAACATAATCAGTGTTTCTAAATCTAAATGGAGATTTTATTTAATTCATACTGGATCTCTTAGAAGTTATCTTAGATTTTCTTTCAATTTTAAATGCATTATTGCTTTTTATTGTTGTTTTAGGTGCACTTCATAGAGGTGATGCTGGCATCAGAAAATATCTTCAATTCATTCTACTTTGGAGAGAATGTGATGATATCAATGCTTGTGCCCTGTTGAGGACATGAAAATGTTCATAACTATTTTATGTATTTGGAGGGTGTAAGAAAAACTACTCAGGGAAAACTATTTCCTTGAATAGGAAAGTAGAGCCCTATTTACTATTTCTAGGCATTAAAAATGGCAAAAACCTTCTCATCTAAAACCTTGAACAGAAAATAGAGGCCCGTGATCCCTTTCTACACTAAGTGTGAAAATGACACTGAAAGAATCCAGGTCTGCCTACATGTGCTGGAGGTTGGGAATATGGATGGACGGGTTAGAAAATTCTCTAGTGTATCACTAAATGATTATTGCATGGGAACCAAGAGACACATAGTAAGGACCATAAGCTTTGTGTGCTTATTTCATTTATTTCTCACAGTTCGCCTACTCCCACCATATCAGATTTTCAGATGAGGAACTGAGTGAGTCATGTGGAACTGGACTTTCAGTGATGAAATTAGTATATATAGACAATGTAGTATATATAGACAATGATTTCATGTAGTGTATATAGACAATGATTTAGAATAATGCATATCTGAAACTTAAAATACTTCAATAAGTTAGACAAATAAGTTAGACTCTTACTGTATAGATTAATAATTGCCAAACTTGGCTGATCATAAAATCTCTTGGAGCTTATTAAAAATATATATTTGTTAGTCCAACATTCCAGTGAGAATTACAAAGGAAGAGGTCTAGAAATCTGTGTCTTAACCAGTTTAAAGGTTTCCTTATAATTAATGCAAAGCGGGCAACCTAGGTTTGGATCGTATTAAACTGCTTTTCAGTCACTACTATGTCATGCACAACTTTGTCACTGTTTACAATTATATTGTTAATTCCTAGAACTGTGTCTGGTCCTCAGTAGGCCCTCAACAAATATTTTAAAATTAATAGATGAGCTAATTTTTCAATCATTGTTTAAGAACTTATCATACAGTCCTACCATGATGTACATATTTGATTCTGACTTACAGGATATTTATTAATAATTTTTCAATTATAAGTAACCTTGGGTGAAACTTCCTGAGCATTCATCATTGGCCAGACTCCTAGAGTAAGATAACTGAAAAGTCTTGAGTGTTTGAAAAGCTGCTGATACATACTGCCTTCCAGAAATGTCTAACATATTTAAACCCCCTGCTGCCCTTGTACAGGGGTGTTCATCTCCCTATGCCCCTTCAATACCTGTGACTATCATATTTTTTCATTTCTGACGATGATGGTTGGGTGTGGTATTCCATTGTTTTAATTTGTATTTCTTTGGTTTTCAATGAGAGTAAATAGCTTATCATATTTATTTTATCATTATTATTTCTTCCTTTGTGAATTTCCTATCATAGTCTTGATGTATGTTTTCTATTGGGGTGTTTACCTTTTTCTTGTTGATTTTTAAGAGTCTTGTATATATTTAGATTAATCATAGTTGTCTATAACATTTGATGCAAATATTTTTTCTTGTACATTTTCCCTTTATAATTTTTTCTTTCATGAATTTAAAATATTTGTAGTTATGTTTCAGAAATAAATTTAAAAAATACACTTGCTTTTAAAGATACAAAATTTGTACTTGATGAGATTCATTTGCAAGTGACTTGTATTAACATGTAGTTTACAAATACCAGTATGTAGGCCAGATACATTAGAATCATTTAGGAGCTGTGTTAAGAATGCAGAATCAAAGACTCTACCTTGGGTGAGTTAAAACAAAACTCGATGACCAGAAATCTAAACGTTCATCAAGATCTCTAGGTGATCTAATTGCATTGTAACTGTAGCTCTAGTCAAGGTCCAACATAAAATAGAACATGGTGGGTGAGCTACTGAGAATGCAAGCCTGCCCCCTTGTGGTCGGTCACTCAAACCAAATTACAGGTAGACAATTGTAATTCACAGGAATAATGTCAACAAACGGACAGATATATCAGATGTAACCGATAACTTCACAGTATTCTAAGGTAAGTAAGGGGCTTTAAATAACCTATAGTGTATTTCTTCTATAGGGGAACCCAAATCCCCCAACAACATCCTTATACACATCACGAAGTTTAAATAAAGCATAGAACATCTACAGGATTGGGGAGAAAGTATGTATGACTTTTCAAAAATGGTTTCAATTCATCTAGTCTCAGATGGTATAAATTCATTTTTTTTAAATTTTTTTAAAGATTTATTTATTTATTTATACAAGAACTGGGTATAGTCAGAAGCGCGGGAGAGTGAGAGAATTCACCAGAGCCAGAGCAGGGAACAGAACAGGCAGACTGACAAGTACACTGCTGAGGGGAGCAGCGGGCGGCAGGAGAGGTCTGCGTGCCATCTGGGACCCTCGCCGGCGGCCGGGGATCGAACCAGTGCTGCAGAGGCTGCGGGCAGCTTCGCAGCTCAGAGCTCCACCGCTGCGCCACCAGGGGAGGCCCGGTATAAATTCATTTTTAATGAAAGCATTGTGTCAAGTTATATTTTCTAATTATATGGAGTATTGGAAAAAGTAGAAACAGGTTAGATTTGAAAAAATAGACACTATTGGGGAAGAAAAAACATAACACTTCATGCTTGCGACTTTTTCCTTTTTTTCCAAGTGGCCTGAACAAAAAACCATAGTACAATGAGGTGGAGGAGATGTGGGGCTTTGGACCCCACTGGGTATGAGGCTTCACAAATCTATGATTATCTCAAAAAGTATGAACACCCACTCCTTGATTACTAGTACATCAAGTTTGACAAAGCTGTTCTGATAAGTAGTAAAGAAGAAAATACTCATATATACAACTGATGAAAGCAGGAGTAAAAAGTGAAAATGAATTTTTAGTATACCTGCTGAGCAGGACAAAAAAAATGATATTGTTTCAAATCTACTTGGCTCTATTTTGGGAATACCAGCACACAGTAAAACACAATTCACAAGGTCAACACCACATTTTAAGTATATTCATAGAGTCCAAACTTAAAAGTTAAAGTCATTCAAATAGTTAATGACTAAAGAGGGTTAATGTCCAAAATATATAAATAGCTTATGAAACTTAACAACAAAAACAACTAAATACCCAATTAACAATATGTAGAGGATCTGAATAGATACTTCTCCAAAGAAGACAAACAGATGGCCCACAGGCACAAGAAAAGAGGTTAGTCATCTCTTGTTATCCTGGAAATGCAAATCAAGACCATGAGACAGCTCCTGTAAGAGTGACTATTATTAGAAAGGATTAGGAAAAAAAAAGTATTGGTGAGGATATGGAGAAAAGGAAACCGAACACTTGTACACTGTTGGTGGGAATGAAATTCGTGCAGCCACTATGGAAAATAATATGGGGAAGCCTCAAAAAACTGAGAATAGCAATACCATCTGATTCAGCCATTCAATATCTGGGTATTTATCTGAAGAACATGAAAATAGTATTTTGAAGAGATACATGCATTCTTATGTTTATTGCAGCATTATTCATTATAGTCAAGCATGGAAATAACCAGTGCTCACCGACAGATGAAGAAGATGTGGCAGATATATAAAATATGCACACAATATACACTACTCAGCTAAAAAGTAAGATGAAATCTTGTCCTATAGCAATCTGAATGGACCTAGAGGGTATTTATGCAAAATGAAGTAAATCTGATGGAGAAAGACAAATGCTGTAAGACTTCACTTGTATGTGGTAGGTAAGAAACAAAATAAATGATCAAATCAAACAAAAACTGACATTATATGAGCAAAATGGTGATTAGAGAGGAGAAGGTAGAAATGGGATGGATAAATCAAGTAAAAGGGATCAGCTGTGTGGTGGTGGGCAGAAATCAGAATTCTGGTGATGAGTCTGATGTAGTATGTACAAATGTAGATTCATACACCTGAAGACTACATGGTGTTATAGGTCAATGCTCCCTCGAGGAAAAAAAAGTTAGCTTCTATAACATCACTACATGCAAGTATTTGCTAGCATCAAAACCCCACAGACTACAGAATGTTAATTGTTGCAGTGTCTCTTATGGGCGAGAAGGCACTCTCACACGATGGACACACCAAAGAAAACCATGGCAGAGTGGGCCAGTGGGCTCCTGGCCTGTAGAATTCCATTTGGAAAATGGAATATAGATGAAAAATTACTGCTGTGCGGTGTTTAAAAGTTGCTTTTAAAATGTGGAAATTTTTGTGGATGAGTTTACATTAAGAAATACCTTTACATTTCAGGAATTTAAAAAATTCCTTGATATTGGTAAGATTTAGAAGAACAGAGACTTTAATACTCAAAGAGAAATTATTCTGATTAACTATACATTTTTAAACCTCTCTGCATATACAGAGCAGAATATTTACAACTCTGCTCTGCTCTATGAAGAAGCATATTAGTAAACTTAATGTAGCAAAATTCTGGTTGGACTGACTTCGCCACTGGCTTCACCTACCATATACATAGACCACAGGCCTGGCTTTACTGTGTCAGATCTACACTGTGATCTTATTTCAAATGATGTCAATGCCATTCTTTTTACCCTTTTAGGAAGGCTTGATGGCAGAAAGAGCTGACCTTTCCTGCAACCAAATTACCTTTGGAGATTGAAGCATGGATTTTAAAACCCAAAGTCTCTTCTAACTGGTTGTAGTCAGATTCCACAGAGGATGCATGAAGTGTTTCTACCAAGAAAGGCATTCTGCCTCGCGACTCATCATAGAAAATGGTGTGGTTCCATGTGTAGGGGACACTGATGCCATCAATGGTAAACAGACGGGTGGAGTGGGCATACAGCTGCCCAGGGCCTGTTTGGATGTAGTCTTCTGTGTAATCCTAAGGAGACAATACAGATTTGATGATCAGAATGACTCATTCTACTTTGTTTTTGATGGGGGTGGGGGGTGGGGAGAATGAGAAAAAAAAAGCTTAGGGGTTATACAGCTCTTAATGAAATTGTAATTGTATAGCACTGTGTGTAGGAAGTAAAGGTAAAAGCTTTCAATTATAATTATATTAGTTTTACTATTTTGCTGTCATAAATAATAGTTTAATAAGGGATTCAAAGTTATAGGTGAAGAATAAAGAAAACATGTGAAAGGGTGATTATTATCATTCATTAATTTCTGAAATACTTTAATGGATATTATGCACAAACTTTTATGCATAAGTTACTATTTTCTTCGGAGAACATTGAACAAGTGGCTTAAATCAACATAGCCATGATCTCAGTCCTGATAAGCAGGTAATAAAACTACTAAGACATTATGAAGACTTGGACTGGAGGACTTTTAAACCAACACCAGCTCAGCATTTGGAACTTTAGTGGCTAAGACATTTATTCCCCCACAGGAAACAAGGGAAATAACACAAGTCTCTGTGTTCTTTCTGTGAACCTTTGACTCACACTCTTATTATTACCATAGCCCCATGACATAGTGAAGGTGAGTTACCTTTATAGCAATTTCAGCAGGTGACTGGAGCTGTAAGACATAACCATTCACAACAACATCCAGCAGCAAAGCACCATCAGAATCCAAGCCACGGGCGATGTGAGTCATCCGTAAGACTTCCCCTGGGAATTGCAAGCCATTCATTTTAACAGCAAAACACACATGATTTGTGATTTAGATGAACATAATGTAATATATACATTTATAATGACATACACCTGAAACCTGTTTAATTTTATAATCCCAATTTATGTCAATAAAAATGTAAAAAATTAAAAAAAGGACTGTGTAAACCCAGCAGATTTATATACAGCTATGCCATTTCAGCTCAAACTTGAATAATGAAAGATGATAAGAGAATTGAATTAGAAGTTATTCCCCAAATTAAAGAGTTAGGTTGATTGAACTATTAGTTCTAAAACTTCTTTTTCTGTAGCAAAAATGTAGCATGTGATTATGTGAAGGAGTCCACAATTTAAACTCAAGTAATAACAACGCAATTCACAGAAATGAATTGCCTGTCAAAGGGCAGCTTTCCCAGGCAGAAAGGCAATAAATACAAGTGTGGCCACCGGACTTGTTGTTCCTGCTTCTTCAGGAAGTAGTGAAATGGCATCTTAGCAGTGGAGGGCTACCCACAGACCCACTCGTGTGTTCTGCAGTTTGACTGAAAGTATACTCTCCCTCGGCCCATCTTCCTTAAAGACAATTGCTGTCGGGGACTTCCTACCTTTGAAGAGACTTGAAAAGGAGGTCTACAAAAACCTGCATGCACTTGAAAAGGGCCATGAATAGTTAATACATTAAGACTAAGGATAAAGCAAAAAGTCTTTAGTTTTGGTTGTATTATTTATTTCCATCCTTCTGATGAAGATTTCCTAAAGGTATCCTAATTGAATCTCAATTTCAAAGACAGAAGTCTTGGATCTGTTCCTTTTCCTGTTCTCTTTGGTTTTTAAAACTCTAGAGAACAGACAAAAAAAAAAAAAAACTTGGGGGGTGTATAAAAATCAGTATAGGTTTTAAAACACATGGCCTCTTATAGACCAAAGTCAGTATAAATTTACAGGAAAAAACGATATAGCTTTTATATTATTTATGATAAGATGGCATCAAAAACTTTGAAATTGCTCTTTGTGGGAACATACATTTGTTCTTACCACTAACTTTTAAAACAATCATTTTTTGATTTGATTTATAGTAAGAGAATATTAAGTTCAGTGGCACTAACCAGTTGCAAACTCCACTTGAGTTTCTCTCTTGAAGACTGCATTGGTGAGAGTGAAACCATTGACTGCTTCCCCTATTTCCTTTGCTGTTGTCCAATAAATGGGATTTAGAATAGAAACTATCTTTCTCATTGCTGGGCCTAAAGTAAAAGAATAGGTTATAAAGCAAAATATTTACACTTCAGTGTTATTATTGTCTTTATAACATATTATTCCTATTATAATAGGATAAGAACAAAATAAATATGAAGCTTATGTTTGGGCTAGAACTATTATACAAGGACTATTATATTACAAGGACTATTATATTGATCATTTAATAACAGCATGTTTTAGACATTTTAAGAAGAAATAATAAAAGAATAATACATAAGTTTTTCAAAGTAGGTTTATTAACAACTTTTATAAGCAAAGGCACTAACCAAGACTTCGAGGGACATTGGTAATTTTTGCATGTATGATTCTAGTATCAGAAGTAGGACTATCTGTTATGGTGGCATTAAGGAAAGCGATTCCAAATTCAACATCATTAATATTTCCAATAACACTTCCTCTGGCATGCTGGGGTCCACCTATTGGGGGAAGAAAAAACATTCTTGGATAAAGAAACATTTCATCAACATTACACGGGTGAAAAGAAGGCCAGTAATTCAAAGATTCTACAAATCTTCTCTCAAACATTTCAAAGATTGTACGACATCTGAATATAAGAGTGGAATAAATAAGCTTTGAAAACATTCTACTTTCATGTAACACTCATCATCCCACATAAATCTAGGGTCCTTCCAATTAAGGCACATCATGGTATTATTTCAGAATCCAAAGAATACAATTAGCTTCAGCCCCCAAACCAAAATAAAGTATGTGTTCACTGACGATGATGACGATGATGAAAGGATGATAATAATGTGAGTTTATTGAGCATGTCATGAAACATAGTAAGCATTGAAAATAATTTAACTCTTTTAATCCCACCAAAAATCCTTTAAGGTCATTTTCTGACTTGGAAAATGAGGTTCAGAGAAAAGTGACTTTTCCATTATTACACAGTTAGGAAATGGCGGAATGAGGATTGGAACATAAGCATGTTTGGCTTAGAACTTGGTTCTTTCATCTCTTGCCCCCTTTGTGAGAACACAGAGGGAAAGCGGGGATTACCAACAAAACAGCAATTAAGTCCCCAACCAGGTCCCTGCCAATATAAATGAAGAGGATCTAAGGGTATTGTTCAAGCATGGGTTCAAATGGAGGGTTTATCAAGTTCTTCACCTCACATACACCCACATACATACACACACACACACTCACACACACATACGCACACAGACCCCACAGAAAAAAATGCTCAAGTTGAGAAATATATGAGAATATTGTCCTTTTGACAGTGCTACAGAATTTATACCAAGACAATTAGGTTGAAAACAAGTATAAATATTTTTAAAAAGCATCTATATAGTAATTTTATGCCACTTTCCATTGTTTGACAAAATTATTGGTTACAAACACAGTATAGGTGTGAATAAACCATGAGTCAAGAATAACTATTACATATTCATTAAGACCAAGGATAAAGCAAAATGCATTTAGTTTTAACCTATCTTTTTAATAAAGAATCCCTATATTCTAATTGAAACTCAACTTCAAAGAGAAAAGTCTTTTAATTATTAGCAATGACTATCTTTCTGGCTCTGCTTTGATTTTAAGACTCTACCATTTGCACACCATACATCTGACAAAGGGCTGATATACAAGATTTACAAAGAACTCATACAACTCAACAAAAAGAAAATAAACAACCTAATCAAAAAATGGATAGAGAACTAAGTAATAATTCTCCAAAGAAACATACAGATGGCCACCAGGCATATGAATAAAGGCTTATCATCAGTTATCATCAGGGAAATACAAATCAAAACCACAATGAGATACCAGCTCACGCATATCAAAAAGATCAGAAACAAGTGCTGGTGAGGATGTGGAGAAAAAGGAACCCTCATACGCCATTTATGAGAATATAGACTGGTTCAGTGCCTATGAAAACTGCATGGAGATTTCTCAAAATATTAAAAATGGTTCTATCACAGGATCTAGCAATTCTACTCTGAGGTATCCACACGAAGAGAGCAATATAGTCAATTCAAAGGGATACATGCACTCCTATGTTCCCTGCAGCACTGTTTATTTATAATAGCCAACCTACAGGAACAGTGATACTTGATACAGTATCAAATATCAAAGGCAGATGAGTGGGATAGGAAAATGTGGTATATATACACAGTGGAATACTACTTAGCTATAAAAAGATAAACTCATGCCATCTTCAACAACATGGATGGGACTGGAGGGGATTATGCTAAACAAAGTCAGTCGGAAGAAGAAAGACAAATACTGGATGGTGTCATTTATATGTGGAATATTGAGAAACCAAACAAAAAGTCAGATAAAGCCAAACCAATAACAAATCCTAGAAATTTGACTATACAATTGAGGTTACCAGAGAAGGATGGGGAGGAGGAAGAGCAAAGTAGGGAGGCAGCACAATAGACTATGGTTTGGGAATACAGGTGTCTCAGTGGTGGGTGTGATGTGGTAACAACACCGAAAGGGGTTCATCCTATGCCTCTAAATCATATACTGTGTTGTAAACCAATGTTATCTCAATAAAAAAGTCCAAACCCTCTATATAAGGATTTAAATGGAAAAGATGAATGTCTTTGAAATGAATTGCATACTTTTTCAAGAGAGGGAAACATTGGGGAAAAATTAATAGTGAAATTATAAATCTTCATTATTTGGTACCCTTTTTTGAATCTATTTTTTAAAACAATTACTATATGCTTTAGATATTATTATATATTATATACTAGGGAGAAATACTATTGTATTTCATCTCAGAAAATCCAGTAAGTATGGTATATGATATTTCACCATGATAACCTGCATTTCTTTGTTTATGAGAGACATTTTCTTACATCAGTTCTGCCACTATGTTCTGGATTAGATTCATTTTTCATCAAATATTGAGGATACAATGGTACTAAAGAAAAAAATTAATACAAGGCTTTCCTTAATATAGCCTATCTCTGATTAGGGCTATAGACATTAATTAGAATTCCATAAATAAAAGTAAAATTGAAGTGTACTAATGTACAACATAGCTACTATTCAGGGAAGTCTGAAAAGGATGCAAAAATTGAGTAGTGATTAGAACAAAGTTTATGTGTTAACTGAGCCAGAGAAGTCAGAAATAGGGCTTTCTAGGTGGAGGAAAGAGCATGTGTCACCCTTTTGAGACTTGGTGGCTTCCCAAATCTAGAAAACTCAAAGGAGCAGAGAGCTCGGGGTGTGATGAGAACTACACTGCAGAGGGTGCAGAAGCAGCAGGTCCATTCAGGCCGTTTCCATTCTTACCGTTAGTCCTCAGCAGATGGGGGATGAGCCTAATTCACTGTGTTTTCTGAGTCATCATTAATGAACTTGGCCTCCCATTTGACCCTGGTTCTCTAATCTTGCAGAGGAACTTGCGCCACAGTTCTCAACAGATTTCTCCTCTTTGGTTGGGGGTCCCTGACATTTTCTGCCAGGCTCTAATTCAAATTGTTTGCCTATTTGCATTCCTTTCTTCCACAGGGACCCTGGAACCTTCAGGGGTTAAGCTACAAAATGTCCCAACTGAAACTAGAACTGTCATCATGTCTACTTGTGAGCACCTCAACACCCTTGGGGAGCAAGTGGACTGATAGGCACTTGGCCTTTGGTTTGTGTAGATCTTATAAATCTTTTTTTAAATTATTTTACCTTTCTTTAAATTTTTAAACAATATTTGCTTCCCTCCACTCCCTTAGATTGAGTCCCCATAGAATTTCCTTCCCCAAGTCACCCGTGCACCATCACCACAGTCCCCTGTGCTCCTACCTCCTTCTCTCTGATCCTTCTCCCTCCTCCTCCCCTGCAGGATGTCTCTGACTCATAATTGTCTGTTTTTGCTTTGTTGTGTTTTGTACTGTTATCATTTTTTACACTGATGTCTTATTTGGTTCTCCTATATTCCTGTTATAAGTGAAACCATCCGATATTTTTTCTTTTTCCTTCTGGCTTATTTCATTGAGCATAATTCTGTCTAGCTCCATCCACGTTGCTGTGAATGGCATGAGTTTATCTTATTTGATTGCTGAATAATATTCCATTGTGTATATATGCCACATCTTCTTGATCCAGTCATCTATTTTTGGGCATTTGGGTTGTTTCTAGGTTTTACCTATTGTAAATAGTGCCACAATAAACATAGGTGTATAGGTGTGCAGGTGAATTTTTTGAATCAATGTTTTTGTGTCCTTTAGGTAGATCCTTAGTAGTGGAATTGCAGGGTCGTATAGTAGCTCCATTTTTAGTAGACTGAGGAAGCTCCAGACAGCTTTCCATAGTGGTTGGACCAGTTCGCACTCCCACCAGCAATGTAGGAGAGTTCCTTTTTTCTCCACATCCTCACCAACATTTGTTGTTGCTGGTTTTTTTGATATGTGCCATTCTTACTGGTGTAAGGTGGTATTTCAGTGTGGTTTTGATTTGTGTTTCCCTGATGATAAGGGATGTTGAACATAGATCTTATAAATCTTTTCATGTAACTTCCTTTTTTTCTTTGCCCAATGGGGCATGCTTGATTTTCAGGAACATTTTATTACTAAAGCAACAGTGAAGCTTTGAAAATCCAATAGACATCTCCACACTTCAGCAATTTGAAACTGTTGCTTTTGATCTTCTGACAGCACTGAGAAAGTCTGTCCTCTGAGGCAAGACATAACCCATATTTCTTGAGACTCCAGCACACTCTTTTTTCCAAAGATTTATTTATGCATACAAGGGCTGGGGTGCAGGCCAGAGAGGAGGGGGCTAAGAGGATTCACCAGAGACAGAGTGGGGAGCATAACAGGCAGACTGACTAAAATACACTCCTGAGGGTAGCAGTGGGAGAGACAGGAGAGGTCTGCTGCACCAAGTGGGTAGCTCCCTGGCCGGGGATCAAACTCATGCTGCAGTGGCGACGGATAGCTTCATAGTGCTGCAACTTAACCCCTTGCACCACCAGGGATGCCTCTCCAGCATATCCTTTGTAAGGTCTATAAACTCTAGGATTCTCATTGTGTCTGAAATTTTACATCTATTATAATATCTATCCATGTTCATGATTTGGGTTACGGTATTTGAACTCTTATACTTTCCTTCCATGAACTGAATTGGCTTCTCTTTTATTTTCCACACTTAGGTTCTCTCACACTCAGGTTCCAGGGTCCCTGTGGCTATTCTGCCCATGTAAGAATAGCCCCTCAACTGTGTTTTTATGTTAGATATTAAAATTCTGCCCTCATTTTTCAGCCTGTCATCTCAGCTTGAGTTTGCACACTCTTCCACCATCTTCTTAACTCTGCAAGCCCAGGGCTGTTATTTATGGCTGTGCAGAACATATCCTTTTTTTTTTTTTTTTTTTAAAGATTTATTTATTTATTTATATAAACACTGGGTACAGGCAGAAGTGCGGGAGGGTGAGAGAATTCACCAGAGCCAGAGCGGGGAACAGAACAGGCAGACTGACAAGTACACTGCTGAGGGAAGCAGCGGGTGGCAGGAGAGGTCTGCGCACCATGTGGGACCCTCGCCAGCGGCCAGGGATCGAACAGGCACTGCAGAGGCTGCGGGCAGCTTCGCAGCCCAGCGCTCAACTGCTGTGCCACCAGGGGAGGCCCTAGAACATATCCTTTTCCTAAAGAGCATGAAAGAGGGTCATCAGAGGCTAAAATTCAGCCATGCACTTTGGTGTAGAGCTGTTACTAACAATGGGGGAAAAGCTCATTTTCCCTAATTCTTCTTCCTAGAGTTGGCACTGTTTTGTAATTTGTGGGCTCAGACTGACACTCTTTTTAATTTGCAAATGCTGTAAATGTACTAGCAATGATCCTGCCAAAGTCTAACCTAGTCACTTACCTGGACATGCTTGTATATTGCACCTAGATATCTGAGTAGAATCTCCTGGACAGGAGCGACCACTTTTGGAAGGTACTGGATTGTTGCACAGTCGCTTTCGAGTCCTTTCACCTCCACCACAAGAGACAGAACACTGGCTCCAACTCTGCCAGTTCCCCCAACTTCCATCCACTATGAGCACAAATGGAATGGTCAATATTAATAAATTAGTTTTGAAATCTACACTTAGGGTGCTCCTGACTATATCATTTTCATTTCAAAATCTGAAAGGACAGTGGCCTATGAGGGTGGATGATGAGTGATTTGGTGGTTGGTACCCTACAGCAGCAATACCTGATGGGTAGACTCCTCATGGTATCAGAAGAATAAATTATTATTTCAATAAAATCTAATCTGAAGGGATGGGGTTGCTGCAATGAACACTAAGTAAAATACTTGACTTATTCTACTGCCAGGAGTTGGGAAGCTCACCAGGACACATGTCAATATTGCATCTCTGTATCTGGGAATCAGGGCCCCCACAAGCTCTTCCTCCATTGGAAGGACGAGGGTTATCACATGTGCGGTACCGTCTCATCTGCCCTCCATTACATGTCCGGCTGCATATTCCCCAGCTACTCCAAGGACTCCAGTTACCATGAGCTACAACACAGAACCATTGGAGAAGTGCTAAACAATGACTTTCATCCAAAAAGTATTGGAAGAGTCTCCCCAGGAACTGAAAAGAAGCATACAAATCTATAAATAGTCAACTTCCAAAAGTAGATTGTTTAGCTCTTGTTTTGACTAGAAACTGGTTATACATTCCAATGATTTTGCAATTCTATTTAACATTTATTGAGTCTTACAGTATTCCAGGAGCTGAAGGATATGAATGAGACAAAGTCTCTGCTCTTGAGGAGTCAAGGCTGTAACATTCAGGATACAGTGGAGTCAGATGCTGCTGGGTCTAAAATTCTGGGGTGGTGGCTGATTAGGCAGAGAGGCACGTGCTTGCCTCCATAAAGCATCATTAACAGTGAACATGTAAGGATCCGCTCATCCTTGCACTCTGCAGCTAGTCCTACATAGATCAAATGAAACAGGACACAGTCCTTGCCCACATATATCAATGCCATCTATGGTACCATCCAGGTACAACAGCAGACATCCAACATTTTAATATCCTATGCCAAAGGTAGATGAATCAAGTCATAGAATACTATAACTTTAGGGACATAAGGCTTTAATGAAATTTTTAAGAAAGTATAACATTGACTCACTATTTCCAACACTCACTTGGACAAGGGTCACTATTACAAAAATCACTCTGGACATCAGTTCCTTCACATATGCTCCCTCCATGCTGAGGAATAGGGTCAGAGCAGTCCCTCATTCTCTGTCTGGCGCCTCCTCCACAGGACACAGTGCAGGCACTCCAAGGAGCCCAAGGGGCCCACTTGCCATCAACTGGATTAAAGAAAAACATTTGTTTTCTTACTACTTTAAAACAATTAGTTTAAACCTTGGATATAGATGGGTGGAATGATGTTGTTATTGACAATGATTCTTACTGACACACTAGAAACCTAAATAAGAGATAGACACTCATTTATTAAGGCTATAAACATTGTACTTCTCCTACCTGGACAGTGTCTCTCATTGCAAACTTGCATTTGAGTTTCTGCTCCGTCACAGTAGGATCCATCAAACGATGGTGGTGGATTATTGCATAGTCTTGTTCTTATCTGGGTACCTTTTCCACAAGTTTCACTGCATGCACCCCAAGGTTGCCAAGCACCCCATGATCCATGAACTACAAATGTACCAAGAGACAGAGCTTCAAGTCAGGCAACCACGTTTGTTAAAAAAAAATAGAAAATCAATAAATGTTCTCAGTAATGAGCTAAATTTGCCCAGAAGCTGAAATAATCAAAGTTGAACCAAAGGAAACAGCAATGATATTTTTTCTTCTTTCCTTCTCACTGGGTTTTCAAGGGAAATGCAGAGTTATCTAATGCCAATATAAATGCTTAAAATTATCCAAAGGAGGCATTTCATTAAAGTTAAATTTAACCAAACTGCCATATATCAACACAATCTAAGTGTTTGTACACCATGCTCTGGGAAAGTTGAAGTAACCAGAATGTTAGGAGAAAGGCTGTTGAACAGATCTAGATGTGGTTATGGACAACACAAATATTTCCACAATGGTAACTTGGATCCCAGACAGGAAGTCCACCTCTTTAAGCCTGATTTAGCCACATGTTTACAAATGTACTTGGGTCTTTCAGTATGATGGTCTGCTCAGTTGTAACTCTGAAAAATTTTCTCCGTTACGTAATGTTCGTGAATTGAAAGTTCTGAATAACACACTCACCTGCTTCCTAAACAACAGAAAAAACTGACCAGTAGTTTCCACAAAATGATAATTAAGGCCTTCCTTTTGGTAACTAACATATTACACCATCTGACCCTAAGACTGGAACAACCTTATGTGATTTCCTGCCAGGTGCTGGGCTGAGAATCAACACTATGGTTTTTTTATGTAAAAGTTAGCATCAGGTCCCTTTTTTGTTTTCGGGGTACTTTTTAGGTATCATGTTCATAAGGTATGTCTGTGGTCACCTGGTTTACGAAGATGTGAACCAAAGTAGGACCTCAAGCTTCTGTCCATTCTCTTATCACAACCTTTACAATGCCAATAGATTAAACTGAAATCAAAGTCATGAAATTGTTAATGGGCTATTTGCTTAGAAAATATTTAAAAATATATCTTACATTTCCTTTTAATTAACTGTTTTCTAGTAGGACTGCATCTTTTTATATTTTGTATACACAGGCAAATGTAGTCATATAAATTTATTTCAGCTGATAGGTATTTGCCCTAAAAAGTATTTGAGTAATTCTAAAGAGAGAGAAAGCCTCCAGATACATAGCAGATACTATTCAAAACTATTCCTTAATAAATTTTGACTGCTGACACTCATAATCTTTATGTACAGATTATATGTTTTCAAAAATTATGCTGCTCCAATTACTTTAATATGTTCCATTTTCATGACTCTTGGTTAACAATAGTCCACACCTCTTATATTATAAAATCATATACATGAATGTGCTTTTTATTGAAGAATTAAAATTGGATGATATATATTACTTTATCGGTGTAGTATCTGTTACATACAAGCAGAGGTTTTCAGTGGAAGCCCTTTTTAATTTTTACAATCAATACAGACATTGAACAGAATTGAATTTCATGACATAAAGTATGGTAGAGTTAAAAGTTTTCTTTTAGAAAAAGAAAAATACCGGATGGTCTCACTCATAGCAGGAATCTAGAAAACTTAAATAAGGGACCAGGAAAATGAATATAAGAAAGTGAAAATCAAAATCAACAAAAAACTATGAACCAGAGACACTTTTTGGGGGGTGGGGGGCGGGAGGGGAAGGATTGGGGTCAGAATGGGGCGTTTGCAATTGTATGGGGGAATATAAAAATAAAATTTAATATTTAAAAAAAAAAATAAAGCTATTATAATTATAAAAAAAAAAAAGAAAATGCATGACAAAATATAAAATGCTTAGAATGATTCAGTGTAAATATTCAAGCTAAAAAAAACTTGAAAAACTAGATGAAAAAACATTAAAATAAAACAGTCTGTCTCTAAAGATAAAAAAAAAAAAAAAAAAGTTTTCTTTTACATGAGCAGAATGATAGGAAGAATGATAATATAAACCAGAGTAGGTATAAAATATCAGGGTTTCTACATGACACAAAAGGAAACAACTATGGAAGGATTGGTGGAGAAGAAAAATGCAAACTATAATAATTGCATTGTTGTTATCTGGCACTGCAGTTCTGATTCTGGAACAGCATAGTGATTAGAAGCAGGGACTCTGAACACACACCCTGGCCTGAATAACCATGCTGCGCTTACTAGCTGTGTGATGCTAGGCATGTTCCTTGACTTCTCTGTGCCAAGTTTCTTGATCTACAATGTAGATAAGAACCTACATTGTATGACTGATGTGCAGAGTAAAGAGCTGATAGATAAAAGTTAAGCGTCAACATGCAAGGCGCACAAGAGTACCTAAGCGTGAGCTATGAGTGAGGATGGCCATTCTTCCCTCAAAGTTCTTAACTGAATTCAGAAATACACATCAAAAATTTTCATTTGCTTCAAATCAAACCAATTATGAGACATCACCTCACATCTGTGAGAACAGCTGCTATCCAAGGATGCAGAGTGCTGGCAAGGATGTAGAGAGAAGGGAACCCTTGCTGCTGTTGGTGGGGATGTTAATTGGTGCAGCCACTATGGAACACACATGGGAGAGTCCTCAAAAAAAATTAAAAATAGAAATTCCATATAATCCAGTTGTCCCATTTCTGGGTGTTTATCTGAAGAATATAAAAACATGAATTCAAAGAAATACAGGAACTCCCATGTTCACTGAAGCATTATGTATAACATCCAAGCATTGGAAACAATCTAAATGCCCACGAATAGATGATCAGATGAAGACAAAGTATATACATAAACAATGAAATACTACTTAGCTATTAAAAAAATATGAAATCCTGCGATCTGCAACAGCATGAATGGAGATAGAGTATATTACGCTCAATGAGATAACTCAGATGGAGAAAGAAAAATACCATATTGTGGTACACAGAGAAAGAAGAAAACAAATGAAGTAAAGAAAACAAAATAAGTTTTTAGATTATAAGACTGATTCATGGTTACAAAGGGAGAGGGCGAGAGGGTGTGTAAACTGAGTAAAGGGTTTAATTGTACAGTGAAGGATGGAATTGAACTTTTGGTGGTAGGCTAAATGTAGTGCGTACAGATGTTTATTTTTAAGATGCATACCTAAACATATAATAATATAATGTATTGCTACTTTAATAAAAATATTTTAAAAATTCTCATTTGTAATTAATTGACAACAATATTTTTTTATGACAATGACTCTCAAGTGGATATGGACTAGTCCAACCCGGAAAACATCAATCTGTTTTTAAGGGAAGGATTGGCATTTAAAAAACACTCTTCATATTAGAAGAACAGAAAGGAGTATTACGAATGACTCTACATCCTCATTTTGATAATTTATTTGCAATAAATCAATTCCTTGAAAGGCACAACTTGCCAAAATTCACACAAAAAGAGAATCTGAATAGGCCTACAAGCATTAAAGAGTTAATTAAGTAAGTAACAGAAAGCACCAATCCCCTCTGATTCACTGCTGAATTCTGCTTAACATTTGAGGAAGAAATTCTACTAGTTTTTTATTACATTATTTAGAGGATGGAAGCAGAAGAGTTTCTTCCTAAGACATTCTATAAGGTCATAATTACCCTAACACTGAAACCCAACAAACACATACAAAAAGAAAACTATAGGTCAATGTCTCTCAAAAACACAGACACAAATATCCTCAACCAAATACAGCAAGTGAATCCAACAATGTAAAAAAAGAAAACCTCTTGTACCTAAGATTGCAGCATGTCCTTTGGATGAGAAAGATTATTCTAGGCCATCTGTCCACTTTGTTAGAGGTATAGTGATAAATGTTTGGCAACCACCCCTCTGGAAGTTGGGAGGAAAATTTTGATTTGTAACATCTGATGATTTTTGTAGTATAAATAGTCTCATTAGGTTCCATATCATCTAACAATAACAATGTCATTAAGTTTTTAGTTGGGAAAAGATATACACTGTCATTGGTTGATTCTGGGACACCCAATGACATTATGCCAAAATAATAGCACAATTCAATCAATTCAGGGACTGGAAAGAGCCAAAGAAACTCTAAAAGAACAGTAAGCCAACAGCTATTCAACATGAAGAGAAAACAAAAACCTGACTTATATTTTAGGATACTTATAAAACCATTTAACTTTTCATTACATAGATATCACACCTGGCAAATTGCACAAAGATTGCTTGAATCAAGTATTTCTGGTTCTTGTTTCTTTGAATCATTATGCAATTATAATTAGTTTTCTGTCTGTTCAGGATAAAAAGAAAGCAATTTTGGCTTTTGGTTTATTTTATTTAAGATTTTACGACAGTATTTTGTTTTTGCAATACAGCGGAAGTTCTAAACTGCTTAGCAAGATACCCAGAATCTAAGTGAATAGGGCTGGGAATCAGATTGATCTGGGTTTAAATCCTTGATTCACTTTTTACTAGTGCTATAAACCTCAGTGAATTGTCATATATTTTCTGAATATTAATTTTTTATCTGAATAATAGGATATAAGAATCAACACAGTGGATTAATATCTCATCTTGTTATGTCTAAATACCTTTCTCTACTGTCCTAACTAAGCCTCTCTCCCAGTTGTGGCCTATCACTTCAACTATTTGAGTTTGTTCAGCATGCTTATCAATATCTGAATGATATCATCTTTATCATCATTGTAACTCTAGCAATTACAATAGGGGCTTGAGCATAGAGAAGGTGCTCAATAAATATTTGTTGGATGAATGAAGAAATGACCCAGTGACTCGGTGAATGATCAGCTGTTTTTCTACTCCATAAGTCTACCCTTTTTGACACAGGGTGGTCCTGGAATCCAAGCTGGCTTTCAAAATATCCTTCTTCTGGACTCAGTTTGGTACAGAGGTGAGCATGGGACCCAAACAAAATCATTGCTTCTCAGAGGCTGATATGATCTGAGAGAGGAAGGAACTCTTTTCTCTGAGGTCTTAGATTATAAAATCCCTTGAGCCAGTAGCTGCCAGTAGTCATTTTTTCCACCACATGGAAGAGTTTAATGGAGAATAAAGTCAAAGAAAGGAAAGTAGACATAAGAGATGGAAAACATGCTAGTAAAAACATTGGCCCAATCCTTGAATTCAATCATATCTGAAAGTAGCATTTTCAGCTTAAGATTATTTAAGTTTGATTTCAGTGACTTTAAAAGCCCTGAAATATCTGTATTACAGAGTTCTTGTTTAAAATAAAAAATATTATGTATACAAAGCACCTAGCGTGGTTCCTATTTAGATATTAAGTGATTAGTGGTGGGTAATCAGTGAACAGTAGCTGTTATCTTACCCCTCAGCAGTGGTGTGTTTCTGGGTGAATCTAACTTCTCTAGGCTTCATTTTTCTCACTTGAGAATAAATAGTTGTGATAGAGGTAAGATCCTCCTTACCTCTAAAATTCTATGACTTTGCAAATACTTGGTTTTTTTTTCTACATGATTAAAAACACACTAGAGTTTAGAGTCATCAGGTTCAATTAAAACAGGTATTTTACTTAACACTGATTAATGTTATGACTCCACAAGTTTATCTATGACACAGAAGAGCACAGAGAATGAATATATTCAAGGGGCCATATAAACATCTTTTCATAACAGAAAAGAAAAGGTAGCTATAACCTGTTTATAGGAGTTGAAAATAGATAAGCTTTAATTATTGAGGATTCTCACCTGGACAAGGCCTAATGTTGCACATAATTACTTCCACAGTATTCCCATCACACGGTCGCCCGCCATGTTGAGCAGCTGGATTATTGCATGTTCGGACCCTGGTTTGGTTGCCACGCCCACAGCTCTTCGTGCATTCTTCCCAAGGGCTCCATTCTGACCAGCTGCCATCCACTATTCAGTGGCGAAATGTGACATCATTAGGTATATTTCAATTGAAAATACTAGCATCGAGACTATCCATAGTTAGGGGACAGAAACGAGTAGCTATTGAGCATGTGCATATCTGTTGAACAAAGAGGATACCTGGACACAGCCTATGCTGACAGTTTCGCATTTCTGAATCTGACCCTTGGCAAGGCTTCCCACCATTGGCTGGAAAGGGGTTGTTGCACAGGCGACTCCTCTTCTGGATACCTTTTCCACAGGTGACACTACAGGATCTCCAGGCAGACCACTGGGAAAATCCACCGTGAACTGCAAACAAAACATGATAAGTTATCTCTTCAGTAAGTAAAAAATTGCAAATCGAATTTCATTAAAGATATGTACTGGATCTAAAGCTTATCTATGATTACTGAGGAATTACTTATGGATGTTCTCCTTTATGGTAAAAATAAAATCTAAGCTCGAGAGAACTTCAGCTAACTGGAGTTTCTTTCCAGTTCCAGTTCTGACTCACTTGGATATAGCTGCTAAGAGTTAGAGATTATATGTGTAACTTTTGTGTTTATATACATGTAAATCATTTTCTAAAGCAAAATATATGCACTGATTTCCGAGAATAACTTTCACTTGGTTTGGAAACCAAATTTCAGTTTGGGGTTTTGAATTGCTAACGTGATATTTTATAGCTACAATCCATATTTTTTTATGTTCTGGAAATTCTGTTAACATTGTGACATATTCTAGCAATCTTTTTCCAGAGCCAAAATTTCCATAAACATCCATAAAATTTCCATAATATTTTTTTTTGAGATTTCTAAGACTGGGTAACATTTGTAAATGAGATCAGAGGATCTATAGAATTAAGTAATGACTAGGTTCTTGTTAACAAGTAGAAGGACTAGCCAGCAAGATGGTTGCTCTCTCTTGCATACTGTTCTGAGCATTATATTTTGTCCAACAAATGACTAGGCTTGCACAAAAACCATAAAAGCATTTCAGTGGCCTTTAACTACTCGGTTTACTGATTTGTAAATATTCTATAATTTGTTTCATTTCTTTGTGCAAGAAATATTGCTGAATCATCATTTGGTTGCTTTTAATGGCAATATTTAATGAAGAGAACGGTAATGGCAGGTGTTGCACAATGACAGATCATGAGCTACTTTTAAAAACAGAGGCACTTCAGTATATAAATTGCAAAGTGATTTTTGTCTTTTCTCCATAATCTAGCAGTATCTTAAGGATAAAGGAAGTTTAGGCTAAGACGTTTAATAATTTCCAAGATTGGGATTGCCCCAGGTGCTGTTTAACACGGACATCCACCTGACCACACTCACCCTGGACTGTGACTGGCACTCTGACAAGGACAGAACCCATCATGTTTCGGGCCACACATTCATATTCAGATGTATCTTCTTTCTGAGCAGCAGCGATATATAATGAGTTGTTGGACAACATGTGAACTCGGTCATCCCAGGTGATAGAGTGCCCTTGGCGGGACCAAGTAATGGTTGGGTGAGGTTCTCCAGTTGCCTGACAATTCAGTGTGACTTTGCCACCAGCATTAACAACAGTTTCTACTGGTTCAAGGATGATAATAGGAGGACCTATGAAAAAACACACATTGTGTTTCTTATTTTTTTGTGGAGTTATTTTTATCATACATAGTAAAATCATTTTGAAAAAATCATTGGGCTGATTTATTAATAAAACATTATAGCTTCTTACTTGCTAATGTTTTAATTGACATTGATAAATTACCGTTTCATTTAGTAAAGGCCAAAAAATTAAACTCTCCAAGCAGATTAACCAGAGCATGGAATGTGCAGGTATGTCTCTGGACTCAAATTCTATCTCTGTCCTTTACTACCTCTCTTCACCTTTGCATCCTTAAAAACAGTCACTTCAGAAGTCTCTTGTTAGATTCCAACAAGATGATGTAAGCACAGGTAAACACGCAATAGTATTAGCATGTTTTTGTTGTCGTCATTGTTTTTGTCTGTGTTTTACATGGTGAATATTCACTTCTTTCCCTTATCTTATTTTTATGGTTAAGAATCATTATAAACTTATTTTATCACTGGTCATCATTCATTCATTTAATAAACATGTATCTTAAAAACCTACAGTTTTGTGCTAGATGCTGAGGGCAGAGATAACGTATAATCTTTAGTCTCAAGGAGCTCATAATCTTCTGATGATAGACACATAAGTAATTAGTTGTAATATAATATACCTACAGAATTTAGTAATAGAATAGGCAGAATAGAGTTTACTATAAAATAAGTAAATGTGTGGAAATATGAGAGCATAGACAGCAATAATTTAATAGAGCCAATAAAACTAGGTCACTGGAAATGGGGAGAAAAGGAATGACAGGACTTTGCCATTGAGTGGTGTTGAATAAAAACAGGAATTTATGTCTGCAGTATTTTGATTTTGGCAATATAATGTATATTTGGGCAATTCAATAGAAAAAATGTGGGACAGATTAATTGAATATAAGTAAAGAATGATGATTTGCATCCATTTAGAACTGTTGGGATTGAGGTTATCTGTGGAAGGTTCATGTGGAGATGTTAGATGTAGATATATCCATATCTCAAACTCAAAATAGAGACATGGGTTAGAAACACAGATTTGTAAGTTTTCACGAATGGATAAGATTGCAGTATAAAGCGAGATGTACAGGGCCAAAGACAAACTGTTGCAGCATCATTAAGAGTTGGACAGAAGTCAAATTGATAAATGATATTAAGAACTGATGATTGAGTGGGAAGAAAGTCAGGAGAAAATGGTGTCAAGGAGGGAGAAGTTAACCTATAGTTGAGGCTAGCTGATTGAGGGAAGTTCTCAGAAAGAATGCAAAAGCTGTTGACACACTGTTATATCTCTACACAGCTCAATAGTGTCAAGAAACACAGTATGGGAGACTTCATGTGGGAAAAGCAACTTGAATTGGATTTTCAAAAATGGATAAACTTATATCTAGGAGAAGGGAGGCTACTTGGGGAGAAAATAGCATAGATGTGGATTTAGCTTTGAAAGGATGAATCACTGGGGAGAGTACAAGGTTGTAAACATTTTGTTAAAATCTTAAAAGAAAATCAGAAGGGCTTACACTTGAATAGGTAAATAAAGGGCAGTGTGTATATTTGTGAAAGAACATAAGATGAAAGCAGTGTTTTGGTGAGATTAAATTGAATGGTAGAATGATTTGCTCATGGAGAAGTGATGAATATCATATAATTCAGGGGGGTGGCTGCATTTTTAGATCAAGGAATGAATCTGGAATAAGTAGAATATGAAACAAAAATAGAAGTAAAACGTGTTTTATCATGGTATTAACTAGTTGGTATTTTATGTTGTTCCTTACAAAATAAATATTTCATATGTGGTTTGAATCCTTCTGTGAGTGTCACATAATGCATTATTCATGTATGCTCACATCATCCTACATAATTGCTTTCCTACTTGATGTTTATATTAACCTCACTCCAGGAACTTTCCTGGGCTGAGGGTTAATTTCTCCTCTGGTGCTCTGATACACACACATGTAATCAATGAACTGTTGTTGAATAAAGTAAATGCCTCAGATCAATCATTCAACACTGAATGACAACATAATGACTGAATGAGCTTATCTGTTATTATGAGAGGCAAAAAAGTATCTAATAAAACTCAGAAAATTTTAAAAATTGATTTAATAAAGTATATATTTCAGTAGTAAAGCTTTATACCTCAATATAAATACATACACCCAGCACCAAAGTTCTACCACATACCACTATCAAATTGATCCCCTTTAGCTCTACCTCCCATGCCCCTTCCTTTTCTCTTCTGGTAATCACTATTTTTTTGTCAGAACCTGGGAATAATTTTTGTTTAAAACTGAGAATCTTAATTTAAATATCATATTTCAATATCTCAACTTGCATAAGGCTATAAATTAATTCAATAAAATTCCACATATACATCTTTTGAGCTTTTATTAATTCAATGAGTCACATAATGATTACTTAAATATGAAGATTTTATCTAGATGAAGACATTACTTTTGGTGCTTTAATATTAATTTTAAACAAATTACAATTATGGATTTTTTTATGTGCCTCATTTGTTTAAATTAATTTCTTGTTAGTATGTTCATATGAGCTGATTTAATATAACTGTTCTTGAACCAGTGAGTAGGACCCCTTCCAGGAGAGACTAATCATGTGATGGCCTCCCTCCATTCACTGGACAAAAAGGGAAGGGAGGTTTCATAGAAATAATGTTTACTTGGGAAATGTGGCAGATTATATCCTCCTCTCTCCATGGTATAACTCACATCAGCATATTAACATTTCTGGGAAGATATGCAGTAAAGAAACTTGGAATTCCTTTTTTAATCACTAAGTAATATCCATTGTAGATCTATCCACCACATCCTCTTGATCTATTCATCTGTTTTTGGGAACTTAGGTTGTTTCCATAATATGGCTATTATAAATAGTGCTGCAATAAACATGGGAGTGCAAGTCTCCTTTTGAATTAATATTTTTGATTTTTTTATAGATGCTTAGGAGTAGAACTGCTGGGTCAGATGGAGCAAAGGTGCAGGAGAGGTAAGAGCAAAGAGAGAAGACACAATGGAGTATGGTGGGGACTATGGTTGATTTGATGGTGGGAATACTTATGGCAGTGCTATCTGATGGGAGGGATCCTAATGTAACCTCAAATAAAAAAATAAATTTATTATAACTGAATAAATAAACTTGATTCTCCTAAGCAGGGCTTGGCATATAGTGGGTGCTATTTATATAGTAATAAATGAAATTTATTTTTTCTCAGACTTACTGACCATGGACTTCTACTTTCTTCCTAATAACATCCCATAAGTTTATCATTTGATAGATATGTACTTTAATAAAACACTGTCTTAGCAAGACATAGAAACAACCTAAGTGTCAGTTGATTGATGAATGGATAAAGAAAATGTGGGTGATATATTTATATCATTTTGTAAGTATTCATTTATATCTTATTGTATGCAGGCACATAATTTTTTTTTCAGTTTGATTTTATTGGTGAGGCCACTTAAAATATGAAAGCTCTGTCATCAAGCAATTGCAATTTGAGCTGCAAGTGTTAGATTAAAAAAAAGTATCTGTGTAAAGCTATACAAGTCTTATGCTTGATAATATGCTTGACATCAGCAGCAGAAAATTAAATTAGACACACTCTGAAAGCTAGCATTAACATATTTGCTAAAAAGTCAAACAAAACAAACATTCTTTATTAGGCTCCATTTCTTAACTCAAGTGTGTAACCATTAGAGCTTAATCCTGCTGCTTACTTTGCAGAGTCAGGCTCATGCTGCGCTCCACCACCCCAGCTTCATTGGCAGCCACACACGTATAGTCGCCTGCATCTTCATTCTAAGGAAGTAAGCAGTGTTTTATAAAAATATGACCCTTCAGGATTATGCTGAGCAAAATAAGTCAGATGGAAAAAGAAAAATACCGAATGGTTTCACTTACAGGGGGAATATAGGGAAACTGAACAAAGGGTCAGGAAAAAGGCAAAAGTTGCCAGCAAACCATAGATCTGAGGCCTACAATAAGGGAGCAAGAGGGGGTCAAAATGGAGGGAGGAGCACAAGGCCCTATGGTGATGGTTCATGGTGTGCAGTGGTGAGAGAGTTATGGGGACTACACACGAAGGGAGAAATCAAAGATAAACAATGATGTAAGAAAATTAAAAAAATTTAATAAAATGACCCTTCAGAGCAGGGAGACTCATTTTCATCATGATGCTCATTTACATGAAATTTCACTTTTGAGAAGGAAATTTTATAGAAATAGAAAACCTACATATATTTAACCTCATAAATAGTTTTAAAAAATGAAACAGAAATTCCCAGGTTAAATATTTTCAAAACACACAGTAATTAAGCTTGAGAATAGTAACTGGCAAGAAACTAAAACAAACTAACATTTTTAATGATCACAAATGTTAGTTTAAAAATTATTTTAGTAAAGAAAAATACTTTTATCTGTAAGAATAGCATCAGCATCAAGATAATGAGGATAAATAAACAAAATCTGAGTGTTTTCTAATGGGGGTTACTTTATAAAAACATTAACCTTCACTTTATTTAGAGGATTTGAAATTGGCAGTGGAAATTTACAGGTAATCATAAATTACAGACTGAAAACCACAAATTTATACACATATGGTATTAAAAATAAGTTCCATATGAATTTAGATTTGGTGACCACTTAGAGATATCACTAAGGTCCTGTGAATGGGAGAATAGGAGAACTCTCAGAGAAAAATAGAGGTCTTCATAGTAGAAAGAATTAGTCAATAAAGGGTATCTGAATTATACCAAGTAGAGGAAAGTGGGAGATGTATAAATTGCTGATTCAAATATTTAATTGGGTGTGTCAATGTATTACCCAAACAGAAATTTCTAGTAGGAAATTGTAAATGGAAGTTGGAAGAGTTTCAGGGTTAAAGATACATATTTAAGAATATGAAACTGGATAGTGAAAAAAATAGTATTAGTATTAAAATTGGCATTATTAAGGGTTTCAGAAACAGTAATATTTATGCAGAGGACAAGGGGAGAGAATGGTAAAGTGGTAATGAAGAAATAACAGGATCTAACATTGATAGTCATTAGTGTTACAGAAGCTAAAGTTAGAAACCATCTCAAAATTGAATAATCAATAACATCTAATGTTGAAATAAATGAAGGAAAATAAAATGTTGAGAGTGGGCCATCAGCTCAGGTGTTTCGGTACAATATCCTTTTTTTCCCCAGTTAATCTAACAATGGGTTAAGAAATTATATAGTCTAGTAGAGAAATTTTTACATGTAATATCTTGTTCCCTGACTCCAAAATGAGAATAATTTAAAGCACCATTCATTTTCTGTCTTACTGAAGTTTTTAGACAGCCTAATAAAGTTTGTCAGGTTAGTGAAGAAATCAACTCTATAACTTATTCATAATTACGTTTATAATTGTTCAATTTCCTTGTTCTGAAACAGATTTGAGAAAATTATGCACTGATGTTAAATAATATGTCAACAATGGGGAACAAAGCAGCAAAATTATTTTATTCCCCGTATTCCTTTGAAAGCACTAAAAATCAATCTAAACCACTGTTTCAATTTTTTAAATGAATCCATTGGTTCAGATTTTATTTTTTCTTTTCAATTACGTTTATTGAGGTAATATTTACAGGTTTACAACACTGTATTTGTTTTAGGGGTTACAGATCCAAGCCTCAAAAATGTATGTTTCCACACCATGCCCACCACAAAGTCCCAATAATCCTCCTCCAGCTCCATCGGGCCCCTTTCCTCCTCTGCTCCTTCCCATAACCCTTGACTTCTGCTAGCTTGGTTTTGCAGTCAGATGTCAAGGGTTTGCTACTGGTTTGGTTTATGATTTAAATAGAGATGCAAGAGAAAATTCCCATCCATGGGCCTACAGAGATGCAAGGATGATGGCAGTTTAAATGCTCATGGATAATTCCACTGTGACTTACAACAGTGCCATAAATTGCCAGGGAGCCATTGCCAAGTTGCCGGATTCTGTGGCTAATTTCAATGTCCATTCCCTTCCTGCTCCACTGGATGGTTGGGGCAGGATCTCCTTTCACCTCACAATTCAGGATCGCATTACCGCCAAGTGGCTCAATCCAGTTGGAAGGGTAGTCACCTTTGAAGACTGGAGGCTCTGGGAAATATCAAAAGAGATGTACAAGTGAAAGGAAACTGTTAATTTCTTTATGATTTTGAACCTGTTCTAGAAAGATCATTTAATGAAGAGGGGAAAGGCCACTTTCAACCCCCATGAATTTTCTAGAATCAAATGCTCATGACAATTAACCAGATAATTTTGTCAGTTTCAAGAATCTAAGCAGATGATCCTACTCTGTGCCAAACAATTTCTTCTACTTTTAAGTTGAATGTTCATACCATGCATATGAATGAATTTACAAATCTGTGAACAAGACTAGAAGAATTAATAAACTGAAGTTGTATTACTCCATGATAAGGAAGTAAAATAGAAACCACTCATTATAAATAAATTATAAATTAAAGAAAGAGCACTTTTACTTACCTTTCACATAAACAAATCCAATTGCCTTCACAAAACCAACGCTGTTCTCTGCTGTGCACACGTAAGTACCAGAATCTCCTTTTGACACTCTTTCAATAACAAGTTCACTGTGTCCATGGACGCTGTCAAAGTGGGCTGAGGGAACAAGTTAGGAAGCAACACAAAAGCCTCTCAGTAACCTAGGAAGATCATCACAACAGCTAAATATTTTGCAAGTTAGATTTATGAGTTGAACCAGCAACTGAACTAGAAGAGCTCATCCCGACATTGGAGAAGAGAGCCTTTTCCACAGATTTCTTCCTCTGAGTTATTTGCTGTGTCTGTAGACACTTGTTTGAAGAATGAAAAACAGCAGAAGGAACAGGAAAAGAGAGTGAAAATAAACATCTTTTAAAATTATTTTAGAATTGAAGCCTACCTTTCATGGCAAAATGTTGCCTAAAGCTGGCTCATAGTCTCCAGGTTTCAAAAAAATCTTTCATCCAGAAATATGACATTTTCCATTTCATTTATCTCACCACCACTCTTCCTCCCAAACAATTTACATCAAACACATGAAAACCTTTGCAGTTATAATTTAACTGACTTGGCAGATTGGAGGGGAAATCCAGAAACATATGCTAGTTAGTTAAGAATAACAAGATTAGATCTGTAATAATTTAAAACTTCTCTATAATGTTGATGATAAAAATATTTAAAGTGGTAATTACAATATTTGGAATACATTATGAGGTAAACAAGATAATCCTAAAGCAGCCAATATATATATATATAAGGTTATAATTAGATCAGCAAATATCTAATTATGGAAGTATATTGACATGCATTGCTTTCCCCGGTTCGAATTATTATTATTTTTTAAATTTCAGGCTGGAGATTAAGAAGTGGAAAATTAAACTTTTAAATTTGAATAGAAAAATAAATTAAACAGCTAAATTATTACTATACCCTTAGAAAACAGTTACTCATTAGATTTTTTTAGACCTTGTTTTTCATTAGAGAGGTACACTATTATTAAGGCAATAAGGTAACAAATTTTAGTCATTAATGTAAATCTTCATAACAGAAAAAAAGTCATGCTTATTGCAGCTTTTTTAATAACACATTTACTAAATCTTAAATGGTGTGGTACTTCAGGACTCAATTTTGGGATGTGGTCAACTTCTTATTACTGGCAATATCTATATGCTACTGACAAAGTCCAACAAATAAGGAGACAGTGGCCAGTCTAGTGATAAGTATTCTTGAGCTTCAGGAACTAACATATTGACTAGAAATTTTCTATACAATTAACAGCATAAAAGAGCTTAATTCATACAGAGAAGAGTTCTCTGTAAAACTAGATGACTCTTCAGAACTGCAAACAAGCTACATCTTAATCCATTTATCAATGAAGGAGGACTAAATGTGATACGTTTAGTTATCTATATATACAGTATGTACACAGGGGAGGGGAGTTATTTTTCCATTAAAATTTACATATATATCCTGCAATGTGTGGTCTTTTAATGAGCTATCCTTTCAAAAGAATGAAAAGAACATGCATACTGGGTAGAGGGTACAATCCAGGCAAGCCATTGTACAGAACTTAAGGCAATCGATTCTTCATGTAATTTTCAAGCAATTCCCACAGTGAAAGAAAATGCAGATTAGTTTGGAATTCTAGACTTCTGTATTTATTCACTTCTTTGGAATGAAGTTACCAACCTGGGATAATGTTGTTATTGAAGGTCCATGTTAACTTGGGTAGTGGGACACCAGTTGCTCTACAGCTTAATCGCAGCTGTTCTCCTTTATTTAATGATACATCTCCAGGAAGTTCAGTAAAAGTTGGGAGAACATGCACAGTCAGGCTGACAGTGTGTGTGTCTTCACCTGCAGCATTGTTAGCAACACAGGTATAGGTGCCAGAATCCTCCAACTTAAATTTAAAAAAAAAAATCACAGGGCTTAAAATAACATAATCTTACATAAAAAACACAAAATTGCAAAGTTAGGTCCCCAACGGAGTGCTCTTATTTAAAGACAACATAAATTTCCATCTTGTCTGAACCAGCTGGCTCACTTTTGCATACCAATTTAAAATGTATAAGAATTTAAATACGAGGCATATTTTACAGAAATCTAGCATTTTTATAGCAATATGACCTCAGAAAACTTTAGATGCCAAAGCTTACTAACCATCAAGAGTACCTGCAAGATACAATAAAAAACAGGCCATCCCAAAGGCTGGAAGCACAGTTGACTCTTAGGGTAATATGGTACCAAATAATCGCCATGATTATCAAAGTAAATGGTAAGAGTAATAGCAATTTTGACACAATTGTGATTCCTTTCTTTTTAAAACCATGTCTTAATGGGCTTTCAGGACATCACAGTTCCCAGGTTTCCTTCCTACCTCACTGATTACTCCTTTTCCATCTCCTTTTTCTAACTTCCCTTCATCATTAGTGTTTTTATGTTGGCATGTGAAAGGACTCCATCTTTGGTCCTCTTTTATTCTCTATCTGCATTCAGTTCTGTGATCTCATTCAGTCTTACAGCTTTATGCTGATGAGAACCACTATACCCAGACCATGTCTTCTCCAATTTTAGCTAACTTTTCATTCCAACACTGCTTAAAAGACAACTGAAACACAAACACAAAAATAAATTCATAATTTCTCTTTTCCCCTTCCTGTTCTACCTGTAGCTTTCCCCATTTCCTTGATGGCTATCATGTCTTTCAGTTGTCCATGCCTTGTTCTAAGACATTTGAAACATCTTTTACTTTTCTTTCTCAAACTCCACTTACAACCTAGCAAGGGAATCATAGCTTTAAAATATACACAGAATCTAACCACTTCTTGTCCCTTCTCTACTATATTCTGCATTGAGTCCCATTTTCTTTCATAACACTATAGACCATGTTCCAAAGTAGGGATTCAGGCTTCTATCCTTGCCTCCTTATTCCTATTCTCATGATAATGGTCAATTTAGTAAAACTGCAAAAACATCAGGCAGATGACATGTGAGGTGAAGGTGATAATCACAACACTCTGGAAACAGTGCTAGGCTGATAACATGTTGATTGCTCAAAACCTGCAGTGGATTTTGACTTTACACAGAGTAAAAGGCAAAACTGTTGATAACCTACAAGAAACTTCATGATCTAGCCTCCATTTTTTCTGACATTTCACTTTTTATTCCTTTTCATTCACTGGCATCCTGTTTCTCAATACATCAGCTGTGTCCTCACATCTTAAGTTCTCCACTCTACCTGTCTACTCTCCCTGGGTTTCCCCTTCACAAGATCTTTGCTTGCTTCACTCACTTCCTTCAAGTTTTGTTCAAATGTCACCTTCCCAAAGGGGACTTACCCCGAATATTCTATGTAATATAAACTGTACCCTTCCAAGTCATGATTCCCTTTATCACACCCTCCTCTTTATTCTACCTGTTTTCTTCAGACTTATTGTATACTTTATTATTTTTATTTTTTATTGTCTATCACACTTCTCAAATAAACTCCATGAGGAAGAGAACTTTATTCTTTTCTTTCTTGCTGTATTCCCAGTGCCTAAATCAGTGTTGGTCACAGAGAGGGTGTTCATTAATAGTTGTTGAATTAATAAACTGAATGCTTCTGAATGTATCAGGCCCATATTATGAGACTTTTATTCTCTTTTTTAAAGTTTAAGAATTTTTTTTTGCATCAAAACATCAAACAATTGATAATGACTTTATAATCATTCATTATAAAGAAAATAAATTCACATGATTTCCCTTTTTAAAGGGCAAAAGGAAGACATCCTGTAAAGGCCCCCCAACCTCACATCACTTAGTTATTCTTTTTTTTTCTTTTTTTAAAGATTTATTTATTTATTTATATAAGCACTGGGTATGGTCAGAAGCACGGGAGGGTGAGAGAAATCACCAGAGCCAGAGCAGGGAACAGAACAGGCAGAATGACGAATTATACTATTGAGGGGAGCAGCGGGTGCGGCAGGAGAGGTCTGTCGTGCCATGTGGGACCCTCGCTGGTGGCCGGGGATTGAACCGGCACTGCAGAGGCTGCTGGCAGCTTTGCAGCCCAGCACTCAACCACTGCGCCACCAGGGGAGGCCCCACTTATTCTTAAAATACCCAGCTTATGACAATGGAAGTTTAATGAATTTTATGAAAGTGAAGTATTTCAAGATGTGGATGGGAAGTTGGGAAAAATTAGGGATGCTAGTAAAATAAAATAAAAATCTAGATTGTCACATTATTGACAGATTTCTATTTATCTTTTTATTTGGCATTTATAAGCTACCTCATCATTGGCATTCTTTTAGTGTATCTGAGTCATTGTCTCATGAAAACTCTAATTTTTTTTCTCATTTAATTCCTTCAGGTCAATAAGAATAATTAAAGGGCCAAATTTAACATTTCTAAACATGAGGATAATCCCTACGAAAGGTATTGGGTTATTGGAGAAGTCATGATGCATTTTTTCTTGAAAAACATAGAAAAAATACATTATGACTTTTCTGACAATCTAATTTACCAGTTTAAACAAATTGTCCTTATTTTATCAATTCTAAAATTTACATTTTTAACTTTTAATATCTCTGAGATTGGGATATATCTAAAAAACCCAAACATCTTCTCTACTTGTCTGTATTTTTTTCTTTCTCAGAGGTATAGAGAATAATGATGCATTGTACAATTAATGGAAACTTAGATTTGAATAAATACAATTTTTGCTGGCACATGGGATAAAGTGAGGTTTACTGGCAACCTGTCACTAGGGATATTTACCTGGTAATTGCAGGAGTCCTGCAAATGGCTGAGATTATTTTGTAAAGTGAATACAATCAATTTTTTTGTCTTAATCTTCTCAAATTTAATTCTGAGATTTTCATAATGAAATCTAGGCATTTAGTAATGGGGGAGAAGACATGCACAACACTTCTGAAAATTGATTCACATTTCAATTATGTTTATTAATTGATACCATGTATTGATACGCTCAGATACATCACTTATTAAAGCCTGGTGTTATGCACAGATACAGATCTTCACTCTTCTAACCATCCCACACACAGTTATAAACATGGAATATACCAGAGGCACTTAGAATTTTTTTCTGATAAACACAAATTTTCACAAAAGTAAAATACGAATTTTAGAAGGAAGCCATTTCTACTATCTTCTAAGTACTACTCTCAGACTCAGGATATGATATGTGTAAAATTAACTTTGTGACCTGAATTTATGAGTGCATCTCTTTCATTATTAAAGAATATATTTCCAAGTTAAATTACCAAAAGTTAAAAAGTGAATTAACAATTTGGCTTAATGTGGCTGTTCCTGTCTATTAAACTTACCAGAACATTTTCCAGAATGAGTTCTCCATAGGGTTCAACAGTGTATTTTCCTAACAAGTTCACTAAAAGAACATTATCTTTTTTCCAGTTAAGTGTTGGTGTGGGGATTCCATCAGCCACGCATGGAAGAACAGCTTGTGAATTCTCACTGACCGTGTAGTAGTCTTCTGTATTTCGGATTCTGGGTGGTACTATGAGAAATTAAAAAAATATATATATAGCCATTCAGGATGTTGAGTTCAATAACATCTTTATTCACATTGACAACTAACACACAAAAGACTTTTGAGAGCAATTTTGCTTGCAGCAATACTAAAAAAGTCTATGAAGACATTGATTTGTTTGTAACTCTGAAAGTAATAAATATTTTTGATACTAGCAAGAATTCTAAAAGATATGAACTTACAAAATACATTTGCAATCAATTTCTGAGTAGATCACTTCAAATTGTGATGGAAATATTTAGAATTTATTTTGATTCCTACCTTTTCCTTATTTGAGCTGCTTGTGCTTTATTCAGTGAAGTAAAACAAAACAATGCTTCTATAGTTGTATAACTCCTCGATTTGTATCACAGACATTGTGAGGATGAAATAATGAAAGTCATTTGTTTAAAAAAAATATGGTAAACCACTCACCCCATTCTAAAGATCACAAGCTGCTAAAGAAAAACTATTTATTGTAGTACTTCACATATTACAACTAACACAAGGAAAACTAGATCAAGATATTTACTTCCTCTGTACTGGCACAGAGGAAATTTTTATAGTGATTTCCTATTTCTCTGCATAGTAATACATAGTAAATAGTCCCTGTGCCTCAAAATTTTTTGAACTGGATTTTAGACAATATAGAATACTCAATGGAATATTTTATTGTACTGAGAAATACCTTAGTGAACTTAGAACTAAGATATATCCTACTAAAGAAAGACTTAAAAATATGAAGAACGCACTAATTCAAAAATTAAAGATAAACTAGAAACCTGTCAGGGGAAATGGATCAGCTGTGATGACATTTTAAGCATAGGACAAGAAACAGTTGGTTTTCAGCAAAAATGAAGCTGCTGTGTAAAATCTTATTTACCTATTTTATATTTTGATTATATAAGCATATATGCAAACATTACATGAATGATTATATGAATAAACATTGTAGGCAATGTGAAAAACAATCTATTTTGCTGTATGGCACATCATAAATATTCATTTTTTCATTAATTTATGTTGAATTTTAGTTACCTCTTTTATTCTGTTTTCTTGGGGTTATTCAATTAGTGGTCACAGAGTTACAATACTAATACATTTATTTCAATTCAACCTTTTTCAAAAAGAAAATTTCAAGGCAGGGGGACTCTCTGGTGGAGCAGGGGTTAATTCTTGCACTATCAAGCTATCTCCAGCCACTACAGCATGAGTTTGATCCCTGGCCAGGGAGCTAACCCACATGGTACAGCAGACCTCTCCAGTCTTGCCCGCTGTTCTCCTCAGCAGTGTATTTCAGTAGATTGTTTGTTCTGCTCCCCACTTTGTCTCCAGTGAATCTTCTCACCCCTGCACCTTTGGCCTACATCCCAGTTCTTGTATGCACAAATAAATAAAAATAAGTCTTTTAAAAAATTTTTTAAGGCAATGTCTTTATACGTGATTTTAGTTTTGGCACACATCATACATTTTGATATGTGGTATCCTTCTTTTTATTATTTTCTAAATAATTTTCAAACAAAAACATATGCTTTGACCTACTTCTTAACTAGAATGGAATTTTTTTATTTACTTGGGGCTGGAGTTTGGCATTTAAAGTTTATTACACATTTCCTGCTTTATTGCATTGTGGGCAGGAATTGAAAGCTGCATTTTTAAATCTTACTAGCGATTTCTTTGCTCTCTAGCATATGGTCAATTTTGATAAATTTTCTATAAATGTTTGTGAAGAAGGGGCATTATTTACTTGAAACTAAAGAACTAGTGTGTATTTTTGATAAGTTCAATTATATTAACTAAAATAAGATATACATCAGGGAGGGATTTTGGAAAATTCACAAATGTTTTTTAATTTTGCCTAAATTATTCATTTATTCAATTAAAATTTCCACTTGTGAAATTTCTACAGTGAAAATATCACTGTAACTATGGAGTTGCAGGAATTCAAGTACACCTGAAAAATATAAAAACAGGTCTCACAAACTTGAAAAGTTTGAAAAAAAGAAATAACAAAACATCATTAAAATAAGAATAGTACTGGGCCTCCCCGGTGGCGCAGCGGTTGAGCGCTGGGTTGCGATGCTGCCGGCAGCCTCTGCAGCACAGGTTCGATCCCCGGCTGCTCCCCGGCCACCGGAGGAGGGTCCCACATGGTGCGCAGACCTCTCCTGCCGCCCGCTGCTCCCCTCAGCAGTGTACTTCAGTCCTTCTGCCTGCTCTGCTCCCCGCTCTGGCTCTGGTGAATTCTCTCACCCTCCCACGCTTCTAACTGTACCCAGTGCTTGTATAAATAAATAAATAAACAAATAAATAAATCTTTAAAAAAAAATAAGAATAGTACTATTATTAACATTAATATTACCAGTACTGATTGTAGTACTGAAAATAGTAATTGGAATCTGTTTTATTTGCTTGTTTCCTACCACTGTTATTAATTAATATTCTATCTTTAGTCTTAAGATATATATTAGCAACTGTTAGCTAGTCTTAAGATATTATGCTGGTTGCTTGAATACAAAGGACAAGAAAAGGTAATTTTTTTGGTTATGAAATCTACATGAATATTTTGCTACTTTAAGTCAATGGATACCATTAAATTCAAACTGCATTAATAATATAGTTCATATGGTTAGTAACTGTAACCAAAATAACTTGCTTTGAAAGAAATTCGAAGAGTCACAAAACTCAAAGGGACCCGCACGAGTCAAAATATAGATCCCAACAATCACATCATGAGGGGAATTTTTGTAATATATCAATTATCCTGGTTATATAAGAAAAGTTCTCTCCCTCACACCCATATGTGCACACATAACTAAACACAGCCTACAGAAGAGATTTAAAGGGCAATGTACCTATACCCCATGCAGACAACACACATACCACATACACCCACTGTATACCATGTAGCAAATACCACACACGCACCCCTATTTGGATTACTGGTTTTGATTTCCATAATATTTTTTCTGGGTGATTTTTCATTTTTGCATAATAATGTATCAGATGGAAACAATTTCTGTCAAACCACCTACCATGAACAGTGAGCTTGGCGCTTCTGCTGGTTGATCCTGCCACATTAGCTGCCAGGCATGTATACTGGCCAGCGTCATCAGGCTGAGCAAATGCTATTTGCAGAGCCCCAGAGCTGAGGATACGTTGGCGGATGGATTCTGTAATCGCATGCCCATCTTTATGCCATGCAATGTCAGGGGGTGGGAAGCCGTCTGCATCACAGGGTAGAGAGATAGGCTTATCCACAGCAGTGATATACTCCTCTGAATGGGGACTAATGACTGGAGGCACTAAAACACAGGAAGTTTAAATCTCTTATTAAAAACATGAATGTATAACTTACACGCTATGACATTTCTCCAGCAGAGTGAAGTCACATTGAAAAACAAAATCCTAACTTGACCATATCACCAAAGGATCACAGCAGTTTGTTTTCATTGGAAAATAAAAATTCATTGAGTCCATTTCAGAAAATTATTTTCTGTATTTATTAACAAATATGCATAGTAACCAGTTTTAAATGAAGAAATAAATATATTTACTAGAGTTTGTCTGTCTACAAAAGCCGGGTTGTGCCAACAAAGACATTTTCTTTAACATACGTGTATTGTTCTACTTAACTTTCAAAACAGATCCTTTCAAGGTTTGGAAATTATTTAGCTGTTCAGAGATACTTTCACTTAAGTGTTTCCTACAGTGCTTAGCAGTGTGTCTCTGTAATGAAGTATTATTTGAATGAATGAATAAATTAATGATTCATTATATAGAAAAGAATAATACAGACAAGACTCATTCCACTTCAGAAAACTGTGACTTATGATAGGAATATTTCTTCCTATTGTTTGCTGATTACCATTTAGGTATTATCTTGCATAGTCTATCAAGATTTAAAGATATATTGGGCCTCCCCTGGTGGCGCAGCAGTTGAGCGCTGGGCTGTGAAGCTGCCTCGAGCCTCTGCAGTCTGGTTCGATCCCCGGCCACCGGTGAGGGTCCCACTTGGTGTGCAGACCTCTCCTGGTGTGCCCGCTGCTCCCCTCAGCAGGGTATTTCATCAGTCTGTCTGTTCTGTTCCCTGCTCTGGCTCTGGTGAATTCTCTCATCCTCCCATGCTTCTGACTATACCCAGTGCTTGTATAAATAAATAAATACATCTTTAAAAAAAAGATTTAAAGTTATATTAAATCAGGATGTGAGAACAACCAGCCACAAGCATATGGGAAAGGAAAAAGAGGAAGATGCCTCCTTGTTATTGCAGGTCTGGAGACAATGACAGGTTCAGAAGACAACCAAGATGGTAAAAATACTCCTTTAAAAGCATACAGCCAAAAAAAAAAAAAAAATCAAAACATCTACCATCCATTCAAGAAAACTTGAGAAACAAGGTCAACAATATTCATTGTTACCACATGCAGACAAAGAAATGGAATCAGCAACAAGAGAACTCTGAGCATTACACTGATCCAAGAAGGCGGTGAAAAAATGATCACCATGGAAAGACCAAATTTGAGAGTATAAAATTGGCTGTGAGTAAAATAAAATCATCAACTTGTGAAAAATAATATGAATAACCATGTTAAAATTATTGACAACAATTAAAATTATGTGGGTGGATTTGGGCTTACCAGACATGCTTTATCTGGGAAGGGAGATTCTGTTCAGAATTTTTCATGCCTCTAGAACATGCAATTATCTCTGGTTGCTTTTGGAATGCTGAAATACTATTCATTATTCAATGTGTTTCTTTCTCCCATAGTTGCTCCTATCAATGGGTTTAATCAATTAGTTCTTCCAATAAGGAATTGTTTCTTTTTTAAGATTTATTTATTTATGCATATAAGAACTGGGCTACAGGCCAGAGGTGTGTGTGTGTGTGTGTGTGTGTGTGTGTGTTTGTGTGTGAGGGGTTGGGAGGGTGGGAGGGTGGGAGGATTCACCATAAGTAGAATGGGAAACACAACAGGCAGATTGACTGCAATACACTGCCAAGGGGAGCAGCGGGCGAGTCAGGAGAAGTCTGCTGTACCATGTGGGTTGCTCCCTGGTCGGCCGGGAATCGAACTTGTGCTGCAGAGGCTGCGGATAGCTTCACAGTGCTGTGCTTAACCCCTTGGGCCACCAGGGAGGCCCATAAGGAATTGTTCTTTTCTAAGGTCTTTGTGTTGCTAAAACTAATACATATTTCTTGCTCCTATTCTACTTCTTTTCACTTGCATCAATAAAGCTGTCCATTTCCCTGTTCTTTAAACAGTCTGCTAACTGCCATCTAGTTTTTTCCTGACCTCTTTGTCCTCTCCTTTGTATTCTTTTCCAGTGTTCTCACTGTTCTTGGACTTCTAAAAAATGCAGTGTCCTGTGATTTTTGTCCTTAGCTCTTTTCTATCCAAATTCTCATCCAATCTTTTGAAACAAAATATACTGGTTACTTCCAAATTCATAATTCAGACTACACTTTTCCCATGAACTCTGAATTAATAAATATTCAATAATCTCTTTGACATCTCTACTAGGATTGCTAATAGTTTCCTACAATTAATATGACTTAACATGATTAAAGAAAAATCATGGTTTTCTTCTGCCAAAACCAGTTCTTCCTCCTGTATTCCCCCATGGCACTATCATTCACTCATTAGCTCAAGTCCAAAGCTTAGGAAACATCATTACTATTTCTCTTTTCCTAAACTTCCAAATTTGATCCATCAACAATCCTGACAATTACATGTCCAAAAATATCTTCAATCCATCAATTTTCTCATTCATTTCTGCAGTCCACAGGCCCACCTCTACTCTAGCTAGAACAGAACACAAAATCTAGAGGACTTTAATAGCTCTTCCAGCTCCTATCTCAGATGGGAACAGCAAAAGAAATCTTCATAAAACAAAACAGAGTCTTGGTTAAATCCTTAAGGGGCTTCCCATTGCACAGAGACTGAAAGCCAGCCTTCCTATGATCCTTTGGGCTCTCCATGCTCTGGACCTGCCTTCTTATATAAATATTTGCGAGTCTTTCCCTCATTCACCACTGTCTACCCATGCTGACATTCTTCTTTTCTTACTCTTTCCTGCCTGGGGGCCACCACACATCATGTCCTGTGTACTTTGGATACTCTAGTACTTTACGTGACTTAGATCATATTCAGGTTTTAGCTAAATTTGTACCCCCTCAAAGAGGCCTATTTGGGGCCTCCCTGATGGCACAAGGGGTTAAGATGCAGCTCTATGAAACTGTAAGCTGCCAGTACAGCATGAGTTCGATCCCCAGCCAGGGAGGTGACCCACATGGCGCAGCAGACCTCTCCTGACGTGCTTGCTGCTCCCCTCAGCAGTGTATTTCAGTCAGTCTGTCTGCTCTGTCTCTGGTGAATCCTTTCACCCCCTACACCTCTGGCCTGTACCCTAGTTCTTGTATGCATAAATAAATAAATCTTAAAAAAATGAGGGCTATTTTAATTACTAATCTAAAGTGGTTCCACGTTTCCTATTATTCTCCAGCTCAGTGTTTAGTTTTTCTTCTGCATAACATATCAGAATTTAAAATTATTTCATTTATTTGATAGTTTACTATTTCATATCTCTACACCATAGGAAGGATCATGTTTAAAACATTCAAAATATTTTCACTTATTAAGCCAATAAGTTGTTGAATAAAGGTTGAAAATTAGATAGAAATAAAATTCATGAATTTCAAGAATGTGAGCTTTACTATAGTCATTAATTCACGATAGGAAGATCACATTATAAGGAAATTCAAAATCAGCCAATGCAAATTCAGAATCTCAGAACCTGTTTAAAATTACTTCTTCACTCACAAAAGCAATGCGTGCAAAATATGGGAATTATGTCAATGGATTACATAGGGATCATTTTTTCCAACCTCATGCAATAGAGTTATTGTGATTAAAATAAAAACACACATTTTTCAAACCTTAAAAAAACAAAAAATATATCAAGAAAATATCAGTTCAATGTGAAAAAAATCCCTGCTTTGTGTCTAGAATAATTTTTCCCCATCAAGTTTGTTTAAATGCAATTAAGATATGTAATTAGATGCAATTAGATATGTAATCTTGTACTTCACATTGTAACAAAAGTAGGATTGTGAAATAATGGTTTAAAAATCACCTTAAATATGTAATATGATGAAAATAGAGTAACCAAAAAGACTCATAGAATTTCAAAACATGAGATGTCTTAGTTTTATGCCATACTAAAAAAAAAAAAAAGCCCAAACAGAAAATGAACTATATATACAAATGGCATACTACTCAGATATCCAAAAAGATGAAATCCTGCCATATGCAACAACCAACAACCTAGATGGACCTAGAGGGTATTATGCTCAGTGAAATAAACCAGATGGAGAAAGACAACAGTTTGATTTCACTCATATGTGGTACATAGAGAAAAAAACAAACAAATGAACTAAGTTTAACAAAAAATAAAGTTTTAGCATACAAGACCAAATTAGTGGTAACTAGAAGAAAAGGGTAAAAAGGGGTGAATAGGGCCTCCCTGGTGGCGCAGCGGTTGAGCGCTGGGTTGCGAAGCTGCCCGCGGCCTCTGCGGCGCCAGTTCGATCCCCGGCTGCTCCCCGGCCACCAGAGGAGGGTCCCACATGGCGCGCAGACCTCTCCTGCCACCCGCTGCTCCCCTCAGCAGTGTACTTCGGTCCTTCTGCCTGCTCTGCTCCCCGCTCTGGCTCTGGTGAATTCTCTCACCCTCCCGCGCTTCTGACTGTACCCAGTGCATGTATAAACAAACAAACAAACAAAAAAAAAACAAACAAAAAACAAACAAATAAATAAATAAATAAAACATGCCTCTATTAAAAAAAAAAGGGGTGAATAAATCAGTCAAAAGGGTCAACTGGACGTAGATGGAAGTGAAGTTTTAGTGGTGAACTTAATCAGTATCTTACTGCATACAGATACTGATTTATAATGATACACAACTAGAACATAAATAATGTTATAATGCAACGTTAATTGAATAAGAAATTATTAAAAAGAACAAACATCTCCCCAGGGTGATAAAAACAAATAGGGTAATACATTTAGAATTTAGAGAATTATGGCAGCATTATTATTTTAGATATATGAATATTTGGTATACATTGTTACAAGCATCTTTGTAATAAAAACACAGAGATTGATCATTTGGGTACCTTGGACATTTAACTTGATTTTGCCCAAGGCTGTCCCAGCTGGATTCTGGGCCACACACATGTAAGAACCTGCATCCTCTCTGACAGCTCTGGAGATCTGTAGACCACCACTGGGAAGAACTGCACGACTGTTGCCTACATCACAATTATAAAAGCAGGGACAGAAGAAATTTTATTTTCATTAGACAAGAGCTTGCTTACTCCCAGTTATAAAACACTGATTTGTTAGGATTTGCTTGATAGAAACAGTGGGAGGTACCTGAAGTGATGACACTGATGCCTTCTTTTTGCCAAGTAATGAAAGGAGTGGGTGTTCCTGTTGCTTCACATGGTAATAAAATGGGATTGTTTAGAATGACGTCTAGTTCACTGGGCTGAGGCTGAATGGCTGGAGGCTCTGCAAGAACCATTGAACAGAAATAAGCAATGGCACTAGTTAATGGCCAAAATGTCTACTGTCATCATGAAATTAAATATGTCCAAACTCATAATTCTAAAATATTAGTGATTTAATTGCCCCAGGGAAAAGTGAATAAGAGCCATATGACATTTTCTGAGTCTCCAGTTTTTATTTAAACTCTGTTAGAAGAACTCTTTTGGAAGCAGGAACAGATTATAAAAATTGAAGAAGAAACCTGATTGAAGGGATGGTCTGTGTGGTATGTCATCTGTGTAATCTTTAGTCTGCTGATAAATATTTACCTGGCTTTTATAGCCTCAAAGTATTACTGGAGTCCAAGCTCTAGACAATTCTGCTTTTCAAGAATAAACATGACTTAAAAACAACAGCAAGATTTTGATGAGTAAATAACCTTCCTACCCTGTACGTGAAGAGTTGCATGTCGATGTGCAGAACCAGCTGCATTCCTGGCCACACAGGTGTATCTCCCAGCATGGTTCAACTGAGTAGCAAATATTTCAATTGCTCCTAAAAAAAAGTTTCAATGTATGATGCATCCTTATTTTTTCAAATTAATTAAGTCTCATCTTTGTGTTTTTGTTCCTATAGGACAGTTGCACCTGACTTATATTCATAGTTGTTCCTTACATTCATACTTGTATCCCCTTAAGGGTAAAGCATAATACTTTTTAAAATTATTACTAACAGCTTTATAGAGTATATTTTAATGCCATAATATTCATTCATTAAATGTATAATTCAATGATTTTTAGTATATTCACAGAGTTGTGCAATCATGACACAATCTAATTTATATCTCTATAACCCCCCCAAGAAAATTTATCCTATTAACAGCCACTCCTTACTCCTAACCCTGGTCCTAGATAATTTACTAAACTACTTTATGTTAAAGAGATTTTCATTATATGGATGTGTCTATATTTCTCCATTCACCAGCTGACAGACACCTGAATTGTTTATGGTTTGCCTGTTGTGAATAATACTGTATGAATATTCATGTACAAGTCTTTGACATGTGTTTTCATTTCTCGGGGGTAGGCATCTAGGAATGAAGTTGCTGGTGATATTGGACCTCTGTTAAACATTTTGAGAAAGTTCCAAAGTATTTCCTTAGAACAGTACTTTAGGCTAGAGGTAATTAATTGAGATTTTATGATTTCATTTTTTAAAGATCTATATATACAGAATTCTGATAGTAAAGATCTGTACAGATTTCTGATAGTCAAAATACTTTGCTTTGACAAATAAATTCCATCCTGAGAACAAATCTTTACTTTCCCTTCTGTTGAAGAAATAAATACTTTTAGAATAATATGCACACATTCAAAATACCCCAGGATTTTGATTGCTACTTTCACTTATTTCCAGTGTACCAACCCTCCCAAATGCAGGATGAATTTTCAGAAACACCAATGTGAATCATCTATACTTTCATTAGGTGAATTAGTTTTTTCTCTGCCATACTATACATTTTTAATACTTAAATTTTATAAACAATAGCTTCTACCACCCTCAAAATGTATCCATCATAGCATTTATCACCGGCTTTACCTGCTAGATTGTAAAAACCTTGAAAACAAGAACTCTGTCTTAGCTTTACATCCAAGGAAACTTATTAGGACATACAGTTCATTTTAGGCACTATATATTTAAATGAACACATTCTATTTGGCCAATCAAAAAACCCCATGGTTTATGCAAAGGCATTAGTTAATTTGTTTAACCTTGGGTTTAGTAAATATACACATAAAATACCAATGATCATGCTTATTATGTTCAGGTAAGTCTTAGATATTGATATTTTTCTCCAGACTTCTTTTTTTCCTCTTTCCCTAGTTCCCCTCCCCACTCTAATTGGACTTTTCCTCAGATGTCTAAGTCCAGGAATGCAAATGTATTTTATTATTTTTAGTGCAAGAGAAAACTTGGCAAGGTTTGGTTGGTCTTACCTGAGGACAGAATTCTGTAGCCATCTCCCCTAGGAAGCAGTCTTATGCCATTTTTTGTCCAGTGAATTGAAGGAAATGGAACTCCTGATGCAGTGCAGGTAAGTATTGTTGGGGTATGTTTGGTGACTAGGAAGTCTGTAGGCTCATCTGCTATGGAAGGTGGAACTAAAACAGTAACAACACAAAGAAAGAAAACTACAGGTTGCCAAACTTCAGAGACTTTTCAAAGACATTTTTCTTTTTCACAGTGAAAGTGAGTATTTGGTAAGTGGAAAAGGAAGTCATCTTTGTGAATCAGTGCAACAATGAAATTACATCATTGTAATAACTTTCAATCCAGGACTAAGTCAACTCTACCTTGGACAGTGAGAGCCACAGTTCTTGTGTCTTCTCCTGCATCATTTGCCACAGTGCATTCATAGGTTGCAGTGTCTTCCACAGAAGGGGAAATAATGACTAGTGAGCCTGAAGAAAGGAGCCTAGAAGAGAGATTTCAAAGCAGTGAGTAGTATCAGTTTTTATAATGTTTCCAGTTGACCCAACATGGTACCATGTTGTGAATGGAGGGGAACAGATTCTTCCTTCATGTTAAAATGAAGATCACTTCTCTCATACAAACTAGCTGTATCAAATTTTAAGTGCATAGGGCAGTAGGTTGGTTAACAGGGCCTCAACCTTGACATTTGCAGAAATGAGTGGAAGGAAGATTTGAAGAGGGACTCTTGCCTTTTAGGAATGCATGATCTATCTATACTCTCCTAGCTGAGATACAAAGCAATGAACACATCAGTCATAGCCACTGTTTCTTGAGCACTAACTTCCTGGCACCATATCAAATGCTTCACATAAATGATCTCTAAATCTCACAATGACTTTGCAAGTTGGTATTTTATTATTTCCACTGACAGATAGGTAACTACAAGTCTGTCTTACATCTTTCTCAACTTCACCTGCTTCCTTTACATGTACTGGTTTCCTTGGAGATGCATAGAAGTAAGTCTTTTTTCTTTATTTCTTTTTTCTACTTGTAACCAAAGCAAACATAAGGCAATCTGGATCACTTCCAATGTTTAGGAGTTTGGTAAATACACATACATGATTTAACTTAAATAAAAATAGTTATTTTCTTACTTCAAAATAAGCACTAACAGAATAGAAATTATTTGATTTAATGGGAACATACTGCACATAATTTTTGTCCAAGACATTGTACATTTTCTACATAGTGTACACCTTCAGTCATTAAACACCCAATACCAAGAGAATAAAAGGGTGAGGAGAGAGAAGCAACAAAATTTCAAAAGGAATACTTATAGTTTCATATTACCTGGTATATCAGTTGATTTTTGTCCAGTATATCTATGAGAACAAATTTTAGCACTATGGCAAATATTTTGATATTTATTAATTTGAGATACAAGAAATGATGCTCACATAAAACATCACAAATTCCCAGTGATTTTAAGGTTCGCCTTTAAAAAATATACACTGTCATTTTACAAACTATGGTATTAAAGTGTAAGGAATGTAAAAAGTTGGAGAAAATGCTGTTTTTTCTCCCCATACATGCTGCCAAATACCTAAGCTGTACTTTAAAATATAAAATTTGATTTTTGTTATATAACTCAAGCTTGTATATATTTTGATAGAATAGTTTTTCTTTTATCCAAAATGATGTTTTCATAAAATTCTACAAAGTATTCAAGAAATAAAAATAGAAGATTTAATTCTATAGAATCTGCTGACAGTGAACCACAGTATTTATAGATAATAAAGTTGTATCTATAAATAAAAAATATATTTTAGGTTCAAAACTAATTCCATATGACAAAAATATTTTAGGTTGAAAACTAATTCCATAGTAACATACTCTCTATATACTAGCTAATTTTTACATGTTTGCTGCCCCTATTGATAGAGTTAAAATTCTTTAACAATGATTCTAAATAGTAGGTGGGATTTTTCAATGAATTTATTCCTTACCTGTATGAATTCTGATTTTGATCCACATTGAGAAGCTGTCCATTTTTTCGCCATATGATTGAGGGTTTTGGTATCCCAGTAGCCTCACAAGCCAGAGTGGTTTGGACATTTACCGTAATGGTCATGTTGGTAGGACCCAGCGCGATAGATGGAGCAACTAAAACAAAGTCACCACTTAGAAGGGGAACACATTCAGCAAAGCAGGTGCCAAACTGAAATGAGTCATCGGAAATTGCCTCATAGTTAAGAACAAAATAGGGCCTCCCTCGTGGCACACAGGGTTAAGTTTCAGCACAATGAAGCTATCAGCAGCCACTGCAGTACAAGTTCAATCCTTGGCCAGGGAGCTACCCACATGGCACAGCAGAACTCTCCTGTCGCCCGCTGTTCCCCTCAACAGTATATTTCATCAGTCTGCCTCTTCTGTTCCCCATTCTGTCTCTGATGAATCGTTCCACTGTCCAGCCCCTCTGGCCTACACCCCAGCTCTTGAATGCTTAAATAAATAAATCTTAAAAAAAAAAAACACAATAAAGCTCTGTGAATTTAAATAGTGAGGAAAATGTGGGACATGACTGCTAGGAATGTAATATATATATACAATATAAGGGAATACATTTATGTAGTCTTGGATATCAAACAATCTATAAATTCACTTGTTTAGGCTATAAAAGAACATCCAACACAAAGACTGGATGTTGTCTATAAAAGCACATTTACCATGGACTTGTAAATCTATTCGCCTGCGGTCTGTTCCAGCCACATTGGTTGCCATACACAAATATCTCCCGGCGTCTGTGACATGTGCTGACCGGATATGAAGGAATCCATTTTCTAGGATGGAGTATCTAGTAGAATATAAAGTAACTAAATTATCAGAATAAGATAAGCTAAAAAACTAAGATGGAGTATCTATGAGAAAGACCACAAATGGAATCTCCTAAATCAACTTTTCTGATTATTCACATTTGACTGAGAGCACACTTAAAGACTTAGGTACATTAGGTTTTAGTCTTCTTGCTTCAAATGACACATATTTATAACACCTTGGGTGGGTGGGGAAAAAAGAATAAGATGTAAAGGTTTATAGATGGGAGTGTAATGTTGTAATAATCATGTTTTAGACGTCTTAGAAATTATGCTTTTAAAATATTGTCTTTTGATTCTTATATTAACATGGAGAGAACAATTTTAAATACAAGCCCCAAATAATGCATTGGGAAAAAGATTTAAGGGTTATTATTTCAGTTCTTAGGGTATTTAGAATCCTTTCCTAGAATTATTACCTTGCATGATTCCCAGACAGAAGAGCCCCATCCTTCCTCCATGTTATCCTGGGGACTGGCACACCTTCAGCAAAGCATTCCAAGACAGCTGACTTATTTAAGTGAATGACAAGACTCTGTGGGCCACTCTTTATGCTTGGAGGAACTGTACAAGAGACACATGTGGAAAACTTCATTTATACTAATTACATAGCCTGAACAAAGACCCAGAAGAGGTAGTGCAAGGCACAAACTGTGAATCAAGTATATAACTTTGCCTACAGCTAATTTAGATTACTATATGTAGAATTGTGGTTTAATTCCTATAGTCTTACACAAGATACTCAGTATTTAAAAACAAAGAGGAGATGGAGGAAGGGAATTTTACATCCCTGATATTGTGTGTGAAATCTGGCTTTCTATGAGAGAAACTAGAATAAAAATCAGGTCTGGTCTGATATAAATTAAAAATGATATTTCTTATTGCTCTTTGGCCAAATAATGGTTAGAGAATGTTAATGCTGGAACAACTTCACTTTAAATAAAGGACAGAAAGTGGGCTGCTACAACAAAAAGTGCATCTGTGATTAATCATGCAAATCTCTGAGCATGTATTTTATTATTAATCATTGAGCGCATGTGGGAATAGAAAACTAGAATTTTAATTTTAGTATTAGAGATATTCACTGTGTGGATCACTTTATATCCCGCAGTTTCATATATTCAAAGTCCAGAGATAATTGCTCTTGAGGAAAGCCTGCATTATTTTCCCCATATTTGGCAAATTTTAGTATTTAGATTTTATATAAATGAGACTTACAGTCCTATAGTAGTCTCTTTCTAGTACTTATATATTCAAACACAAAAATAAATACAGGTGAATAATGGGCCATTTTTCATCAAGATATTCCTCAATTGCTCTGATGTGAGATCAGAAACTTACAGGGATTTGTGGCTGGATAAATCTCAATGGCTCTGATCTGAATGACACAAAATATCAGGATATTATGGTAATGATTGGACATACGTTATCCTCCAAGATAAATTTTTTGAAATTGAGTTAGTTTGAATATAACTATAATAGAAATACTATTTTTCAAAGGAAATAAGATAACCACAAGAATTCATTTAGAATGTTCATAAAAACCAAAGTTATCTCTTTGAATACTTTTGGCTACACTTTTAAAATTGTGAAACAATGATTAATTTTTCTTACCATTTACAGTGAGAACAAATTCTTTTGTAGTCTTTCCTGCAATGTTGCTGGCAACACAGGTATAATTTGCAGTATCACTTAAATCTGCATTATTAATTTGTAAATATCTCCCTCCAGACAGGATTCGTACTCGAGGTGTTGCCTGGATTCAGTAAGTAAAATTTACCATTAAAATGTTCAGAAAAGGGAATAAAATATCACTTTATAACATTGAAAGTAACTACAGCAAACTGTAGGGTGCCTATCTTCAAGTATTCTTTATCTGCTCCTCCCACCAATATCCTGGTAACCGAAACCATTGGGAATTATTTCTATGAGTGAGTTAAAGGCAAAGGCTCAATATCAATGACCCAGGTCTTGTAACCAAGATAGAATGCTCTAGAAAGGGCAGATGACTTAAGTTAAGACAAGCAAAGCTCTCTCCATCCCTTGTAAGACTTCTGCTGAAAGTGCTGGGGAATAAGGAATACTCTTTTTTATTGGAATATCCAAGCCTGGTGACAGCCTTATAACTCTTTGGGGACAGTCTGTTCTGAATCTAAGACAAAGAGGCAGAGCTGACATTTGGACACAGTGGCTTGATTACATGATTTTAGCCTCTGGGTCTAGTAATGACTAAAGTCTATTTTGCCAATTACTAAAGCCAACAAATAACCTTTTTTCAGTTAAGGTTATTTGAGTCTGAATTCTATCCCAACTGAAATCTTCCTGACTAATAAATTAAGTTTGGTTAAGTTAGAAGCAACAATTATTCCTTTGCACTTTTTCTCAAATTTTATTGATTTGCCAATCATTTACATGTCTATATAATTTGGGGAGTATGACCCCACACTCTCATGTATGCAAATGCTTCATCATAGTCGTTCAAAACCCCAGTGCTCATACCCTATGAACCTTCCTCTTTTATCTTCTTCTCATCGTCCAATACCCTCTGGTACATAGGTATGTTTATATATTCCTTTTTTATGTACTCTATGTTTTCAGGTCTTATATGCAAGTTTTTAAACCATTTTGAATCAAGTTTTGTGTATGGAATTAAGTAATGATCAAGTTTCTTTTATTCCCCTTGTGGCTGTCCCATTTTTGTGACACCATTTGTTGAAGAGGCTTTCCTTATTCCAACATATGGACACCTGTTGCTTTGTCAAAGAATAACTGTCCATATATATTTTTTTATTTCTGGGCTCTTAATTCTATTTTATTGATCTGTGTTTATTTATTTGTCCCAATACCACACTGTTATCCTACTACTTTGTAGTATAGTTTGAAGTTACGGAGTGTGATTTTTTTCTTTTCTCTCAGTATTGCTTTGACATGTGGGGGTCCTCTGTGGTGGCATAATTTTTTTTATAATTGTTGATTTCCTCAAAAAATTTTTGATATGTATTGCACTGAATCTATAAAGTGCTTTACATAATATGGGCATTTTAACAATGTTTATTCTTCTAATCCATGAACACAGGATATTGTTCTATTTCTTTGTGTCTTATGTTATTTAACTATGAGAGTGCCTTATAATTTACATTGCATAGTTTCTTTACCTCTTTTGTTAAGTTTAACCCTAGGTATACTATCCTTTATGGTGTGATTGTAAATGAGATTATTATCTTAATTTTTCTTTTCTCTAATTATTTTTTTTGCATAGAAATTTAACAGACTGATTTTGTACCCTGCCACTTTACTGCCACTTTACTGTTTATTTATTATTTCTAGTAGTTTGTTTTTTAGTGGAGTTTTGTGGCTTTTTCTATGTATCTGTGTCATGTCATCTGTGAGTAGTGATAGTTTCACTACTAGTAGTTTCCTACTCCACTGAGAAAACAAGTCTTGAGCCTGCAATTCTCTCCTTCCATCTTGCACATGATTGCAACCGTCCTTTCCATTTCCCCATGTCTGTGGAAAAGGGTTTACCCTTGCTCCAAAACTCTTCAACTATGACCAGGGTCCAATTTGCTCCCCATCCAACACACTGTCCTATACATTTCTTTTGCTATTTTCTATAGCTTCAATTTCTATCAGTAAATAAACATACAAAAAATTTCTTTTATATTTAAAGAACAGTCCATAATTATATACACTTTCTCTTCTTCCTTAACTGCCCTAACAACTGTCACTGTCTTCTATTTTGATCACTTTATTGAAGAATCAACCATGCTCAGGTCTTTAATAATTTTTATGTATTGTCAAAGCCATTGGACATTGCTTCAACTGTATCTTAACTGCACTTTTTAAAATTTTTTTTTAAAGATTTATTTATTTATTTTATACAAGAACTGGAGTACAGACCAGATGCGTGGGAGGGTGAGAGGATTCACCAGAGACAGAGCAGGGAACAGAACAGGCAGACTGATGAAATACCCTGCTGAGGGGAGCAGCGGGTGAGACAGGAGAGGTCTGCCCTGCCATGTGGGACCCTCACCAGCCAGCAGGGATCGAACCAGCACTGCAGAGGCTGCTGGCAGCTTCACAGCGTGGCGCTCAACTGTCTGCGCCACCAGGGGAGGCCCTCTTAACCGAACTTTTAACTACTCCTTCTCTTTTCCTTGACTTTCAATACACCTGTGTCTCCTACATTTAGTCTGAGCTTTCTAAATCCTTCCCAATCCCATTCTCCTTCTCTTCTTATACTCACTTTGAAATGAGGCTTTATTCTCATTTACTGGTTAGCCTCACAGAAACCATGGCTTCAACAACAGTTATGACATAAAATGTGGACTCATATGTCTTAATGTGTTTTATAGACTTTCCACATGGATATACCTGAATTACTTATAAGTATCTAAAAATGAGGTAAACTTTTTTTTTAATTAAAAAAGTTCAACAGTGAACTGCTCAGTATTGCCATCACTTGCTTATCTCCGATTAGTCTTATCTTCACCATGAACATTCACTCAGTCCCTAGCTGAACAATGAATGGCCTAAAATGAAATGTATATATGGGAAATAAGACTATGGAGGGAATGTCAGGCATTTAATCTGAATTCCAACATTTAGGGGGATTCATCAAAGGATTTTAATCAAGGTCTAATTCACCCATAGCCAGCTACTTACAGTTCCCAGGACAGCAGCAATGCCTTTTCATGCGAAATGATCATGCCACTCTTAAAATTAGAATTCAGCCTTTCTGTGTTTGATGTGTTTTGGTGGTGGTGGAAAACGTTCTGTTACATGTGTTAAGGGATATAATTTCATTTATATAATCATGCACAGGGTAGCAAAATTGGTTATAAGAATAAATAACTACTAGGATAATAACCAACAGTCAGAGGATTCAGTCAATACTGAGCCTAAAAAGCAACTTAGGATCCTGTGCTGTGATACTTTATGACAGCACACAGATATCACTTGTACTTGAGAAGCTTTAGAGAGCAAGAAAATGTGTTATTCAGTGATCCCAGACCTAGATTCATGATAGTAAAGGGCATTATAGAGATCCATGAGGTCATTTCTGAGATCTAAGTTTAGACCAAGGAAATTCAGTAAGAGGGTTGTCTAAAGGCTAGTTAGGACTGCTCAGTTCTTTGAGACTCTAGTTAGGGCTTCTTCCCTCTCAAGTGAAGAAATAATTGAGTGTTTCAAATGCAGCTTTAATTCTTGAGCTTTAGGAGATACATTCTTGGGTCAATTTGCAGAGTGTCTGAATAAAAGTACCTGTTTTCTGATTCATAATTACTAGCTACCCCGGGAAAGACTGAAAAAAGAAGGCTGATTAAAGGATCCTGTGTCCACCCTTGAATACTGAATAACTGGTGAATGTTCAACCAACTACCTCATGTTGTTTGGTCTTGTCTACCTAGCAAAGATTCCCCAGCAGATTTTTTTTTCTCAAAAATAATCTGCAGAATTATCAGGACTTACCTGCAATCGGTCTCTGTTTTTAAGCCACGTGATAACAGGTGGGGGCACTGCATCTGATTTGCATTCCAGTGTCACTTGTCTGTTCTGTAACACTGTGAAATCCTGGGACTCATCAATTCCAGCAATATTTGGGGGTACTGGGTATGAAAACAAACACATCAAAGGTTTTCAATTAATAAAATGTAAAGATCTGGATTATCACAGGTATTCGACACATGTTGCTTCTGCTTGTATAAAATGAATCATAAGCTTAAAACATTAGTTATTCAATTTACAGTAAAAACGATTATAAATAAGGTTTTTTTTTACCTTACTTTAATACTTTCATGTACATTAAATAGCGAACTTCTTCCAAGAGTCACATGAATGATAGGATAATAAAATCAACATGATTATTACCTTTTAACAGGTAAAGAAACTACAACACAAAGAAGGGATTCCTTGTCCAGGTTCTACAGTTGATAATCACTTTCTCAAAACATCAGATTTTAAAACTACTAAATTAGGGTATTTTTAACATAATATAAAGACATGTCTATACTTCTCTTGATATGCAGAATGTATCTTATTATCTGACTCATTAAACATTCACATGTCAACTAATGGCAGGTTTAAAGGCAGGTGTGTAGAGTTAGGGAGAGGAGGGCACTTAAATCACAGTTTGCACTGCCTAATTATTTAGGCTATGAGAATGAATTAAAAATCTATTTAGTTTTTCTAAATGTTCCTCTCCATGAAGGTTTCTATGTCTATGACTAATAGTATCAGCCAGAATCTTATTGGTCTGACTTTTCTAGAAAATGACAGTAATAAATTTCAAAAATCATGCACGTGTGTGCATGTGTGTACTTACAAAATCAAGCAAAGTGTACTTATAGAAAATGAACAGAATAATTTAAGGAAATAGGGCCTCCCTGGTGGCGCAAGGGGTTAAGACTCAACCAACGAAGCTATCAGCAGCCACTGGAGCATGAGTACAATCCCCATTCAGGGAACTACCCACACGACACAGAAGACCTCTCCTGACTCACCCCCTGCTCCCCTTAGCAGTGTATTTCAATCAGTCTGCCTGTTCTGTTCCCCACTCTGTCTCTGGTGAATCTTTTCATCCACCCACACCTCTGGCCTGTACTCCAGTTCTTGTATGCATAAATAAATAAATATTTAAAAAATAATTTAAGGAAATAAGCCAACATGTATAAAGGTATCTATAAAAGTAATCCTTATATTGAATAAGATACAGAAACAGCCTAAATATTAAAAAACAGGGAAGGAATTAAATTAATGATAGCATATCCATGAAAGGGGACACTAGGCAATTACTAAAACATAATGTTCTAAAAATATGATTTTTGACTGAAAACATGTTCACTATACCATTAAGTGAGAGAAAAACAAATACTATATCACACTTCTATATCACACTTCTGAGATACTGAATCACACTTCTGTGATTAAAAACTTGATGTGCAAAATGCTTTGTGTGATGAGATTATAGATATTTAACATTTTCTTCTATTTTTGAAGTGTTTAATGCTTTATTGAATCCATATCCTCTTTCACAGAAAAACTCAGATGTTGCACTATTGAAAGGAATTCTGAAAATATCAGTCATTTTGGATAAAGCCTTGGTGTGTTATGGAGTTGCTCCATCTTCCATAGCTTATGGACTCTAATTAGGTATTAGTATCAATAGGTTGCAGGACATTTTGCCAAATTTACCATGCACTCTCACTAAATATTCTTTATCATCATCGCCTGCAGGACTGGATGCCAAACATGTATATCTTCCTGTATCCTCCACCTGTAAAATCCAAATAAGAGAATTATGCATTGTTGACACATATGTCTTGGTAATGAGAATAAATCCCTACACTGGAGTGAATATAAAAATCTCACACAAAGCAAGGTATCATTATGAGAGCCCAATATCTAAAATTTTATAAACATTTAACACTTGTGATGAGCTCTCAAATATTGAGTATTGCTTATCATTTCTATTATATATAAATCAATGCTTAAAGAGGGTGTATTTAATGATGTTAGGTGTATTTAATTATTTCAGAAAAGAAAATATATACAGGACCTAGTACCATACATAATAGATGTATAGTCAATGTTTAATGAAGAAATAAGTACTTATGAGTTAAATTTATTTATTTATTTTTATTTTTTACATCATTGTTCATTTTTAAACAATATTTGCTTCCCCTCCCCAGGTAGCCCCCATAGAATTTCTTTCACCAATGCACCAGTGCACTATCACTATAGTCCCCTGTGCTTCTCCCTCCCTCCCTCTGAGCCCTCTCCCTTCTCCTTCCCTGCAGGATATCTCTGATTTATAATTGTCTGTTTTTGCTTTGTTGTGTTTTGTATTGTTATTATTTTTTTTCACTGATGTCTTATTTGGTTCACCTATATAATCTACCTTTTGACATACTTAGTGAAACAAAAGGACTATATTATGTAATTTGATCACAAATAGAGTCAACCTGACAGCAGACTCTATGAGTGAAAACAGAAACATTTCTTAAAAATCCCTATGCACAGTTTCCACTGAAAGTGTTAGTCTTCATTTATACGTCTGACATTGTGTAGACACAGATCATGCTTATGTATGTATAAAATATACTCTGAAAACCAGATGATCCTATTTCTGCAAAAAATGTATTTTTGAAAAGTAGAAAACTTATGTTTTCATTTATTTTACTACTAGAACATTCCTAGAATATTGGAAATTCTTAAATTTGTTCATTCAAAACTGACTTTATAGGTTTTGGAAAAACTTTTTTGGTAAGCTGCAGAAACTCCATTGAAAAAATTTATGACTAGATGTTTGGAAAAATACTTAAGTACAATTTTAGAAGAATGACATTCACACAGTCCTTTAATTAAGAATTCAAAAATGATGTACCACTGCTTAGAGAATAAATTCTAAATTTCTCATCATATCTTTAAAACCTCTAAAAGTCAACTTTTCTCTACCAACTCAGTTCATTCCCAATTGATATTGCCCCCTCTATTGTTTTTTTAAAGATTTATTTATGCATATAAGAACTGGGATACAGGCCAGAGGTGTGTGTGTGTGTGTGTGGGTGAGAGGATTCACCAGAGACAGAGGGGGGAACAGAACAGGCAAATTGATTGAAATACACTGCTGAGGGGAGCAGTGGGTGAGTCAGGAGAGGTCTGCTGAGCCATGTGGGTAGCCCCCTGGCCAGGGATTGAACTCGTGCTGCAGTGGCTGTGGATAGCTTCATAGGTTGTGTCTTAACCCCTTGCACCATCAGGGAGGCCCTCTCTATTGCTTTGACTTAGCCAAACTGGAACCATCATTCATGACCACTCTTAAATCTTTCTTCCTCCAAGAAATATTTCCTGACAACTTAAGAAATATTTCCTGACAACTTAAGACAACTTAGTGACAGTCACTATTTGGAACTACATTACCTAAAATGTGTTATGTTAACACAGTATTCGAAAAATTATAGCTAATGAGATTTCTTTGGAGTAAGATTTTTCAGACTTGTTGACATGCGTTATAGTTCACAAAGGAGAGAAAGGTATAGTGGATAAAGTTTCACAAATCTATTTAGAATAAATCACAGAACTAGTATTTTAATGAAAATGTTTTAGGAAACTCTGGTCTTACCACACAATTTGGAATTTACAAAGCATCTGTTATCTGCCAGGTATGACTGTATGTTATAGATAATACATGAAAAGACAAAGTTCCAGTAAGTGAAATATAATATAAGGTGTGTTATAAGAGTGGCTTAACAAAATGAGATAAAAAATTTGTTAAAAAATTCTTCTGGGGTCACCCTGGTTGCCTAGTGGTTGTCAGTGCTATCAGTATGAAGGCCTGATTTTGATCCTCGTCCAGGGAGCTAACGCACATATAGTGAAGCAGACCTCTCCTGTCTTGTCTGCTGCTGCCTTTGGCAGTGTATGTCAGTAAATCTGTGTTCTGTTCCCCACTCTGTCTCTGGTTAATTCTCTCACCTTTTGCACCTCTGGTCTACATCCCAGTTCTTCTATGCATAAACAAATAAATTTAAAAAATTCTTCTACTTCCTTTTTGACATTGAAATTATAACATCAAAGGATTCTGATTCAGCAAGTGGTATGATAGTTAAACCAAGTTTTTGCTGAGTTACTGCAATGTTTGATGGAGAGAAAAGAATGTTAAAAACATGAGCAATTGCACCCCTATGTTTATAGCAGCACTGTTTACAATAGCTAAGCTTTGGAATCAACCCAAATGCCCAAAAATAGATGACTGGATCAAGAAGATGTGGTACATATATACCATGGAATATTACTCAGCATTCAAAAAAGATAAACACATGCAATTTGCAGCAACATGGATGGCGCTGGAAGGGATCATGCTCAGCGAAATAAGCCAAAAAGAAAAAGAAAAATACCGGATGGTCTCACTCATAGCAGGAATCTAGAAAACTTAAATAAGGGACCAGGAAAATGAATATAAGAAAGTGAAAATCAAAATCAACAAAAAACTATGAACCAGAGACACTTTTTGGGGGGTGGGGGGCAGGAGGGGAAGGATTGGGGTCAGAATGGGGCGTTTGCAATTGTATGGGGGAATATAAAAATAAAATTTATTATTTAAAAAAAAAAATAAACATAAACTAACCATAAAAAATAAATAAAATATTGAAAATAAAAAAAAAAAACAAAAAAAAAAAAAAAAAAAAAAAAACCATGAATTGGGCTGGATTCCACAGGATAGGCTTTTGAATCAAACCTAGCATTGCAATTAACTCCACCACTGAGCAAAGCTTAATTGACAGGGGAATGCTACATCTCTCTATGTTTACTCACAGATGTATAAAATATGGGTAAAAACATAGCCTAAATAAAGTCTTTGTGAGTGTTATAGACATGACAAAGCTCAGAGCTGAAAATAGTACTGACAAAGTAGAAAATTAGAAATTCTTAAATCTCTTTTAAAAGCTCCTTCCCATTTTTTTTCAGTGAAAATGCACATAAAATATTATTTAATAATTTGTTACTCTGTATTTAAAAGAATGGTGACTGATAATAGCAGCAACAATAATTATTTGATTTCAACAATAATTCAATTTAAGCATCACTACTTGCTTGTATCATTAATAAGCACTTCATCTTTAGAAGATCTCCTTAAATCTCCAAGTGTATGAGTTTGGTATTATTACTATTTGTATCTCTAATTTATAGGTGACAGCATTAGGGCACAGATGGAGAATATTTGTAATATAACTTTTCCCTTTCTTAGTAGGACAAAAGATTGTGACAGTAAGACATCTGAGACATATCACTCTCTAATAAATTCATATTTCAGATTAATTTAATACAAACTAAATACAACAATACTTAAATACAAACTAAAAAAAAATCACAATTTAGTTGATCATTGTTTGAAACATTGTGTCTCTTCAGATTTTTATGTATTTTAGAGAGACACACTCTTTTGAGGCCTTATATATATGTATGTTGGATTGCTTTTTTGCAAGTTTTACAGAGGACTACATGGTACAAATTAAGAGCATCAGGTAATATATTAACACAGCATTGTGAAAACTTGCAAAAAGAATGTGAAGAAAGGTATCTTGTTTTTTTCAGTTCAATATAATGCCTTCACTTCCATCTAACATGTTACCTCATGTTTACCTAACATGCATATCACAGAAGAAATGTACCCTTGATAAAGATACAGAAATCTATGATATATTCATATACAAAGGCATAATTTCACCAAAGTTTCTCATATATTAGCAAGTGGGAAGTGTAACTTAGGACAAATAATTGAATGAACTTTGACACTTACCTGAGCACTAGATATTCGGAGAACCTCTCCTCCTCCGAGAGTTTGCATCTGATCCATCTGTGGAAGGGGCCGTCCATCTTTCATCCAGGTAATTTTAGGAGTTGGGATTCCAGAAGCAATGCAAGTAAGTTCAAGTGGATTGTTAACAATCACTGAGATCTCTATAGGTTCTTCAGATCCATTGATATGAGGTGGTTCTGTTTAAAGAGAATTAAAAACAGTGACAAAATAAACTTACTATTTGATCAAGTAGTGTTGATTAGAAAAACTTTAAGATAAAATTCACCTCAATTTTATGTTAATATGATGCAAACACATGTGATTATCACAAGGATACCAAAACCATAATTTCTAGATGTTATTACCATTTGTCACTGGTACAATTCCAAAAGAGATGGATTAGGCCAATAATAGATCATGAATTTAATGGCATGTCAGCAATTGGGATTTAGAAAATCCCAACTGTAAATATTTGAAAACAATAAAAATTAAACTAAAAGAGGAGAGAGTATCTAAGATGGCAGGCTAGCACAGACCTGGAGTCACATCTTCCTCTACAAGGCCAGTGGACCAGCATCAGTGAGGGAGCAGTTGCACTTGGAAGAGAACTGTGAACTTAATTAGCATCTCCACAAGGAAGTGTCACAGAGATGACTAGAAAGGGTAGGAAATGCTGAGAAATTGTCCTACCAGGAACAATATTGGGGTCTTGGGAGAGGCAATGGCTCTCCCTCCCTAACACCATGGTCTCTTTTTGATTCCTAGCCTGCTATAGACAGGTAAATGCTTCAGATTATAAAGAAAACAAACTGCTGGTAGGTGCCGAGCTGATACAATTGGGGCTGATGATGGTTAGCTTGGCAGTCCCAAGAAGAACCAGCCCCTCCGTTGTCTGAACTTAGCAGGCATCTGAACACTTTAACTATTGCACAATCTGTGATTTGCTGTGGTGCCTAAACTCCCAAACTTCTAGCCATGCTCCTTGTCCCTGAGCTTTGGAGGAAAGGTACTGCCAGCAAAACCCACTGAGATCAGAACTAGGCTGTAATTGAAGATCAATTGCAGTTTGGAGCTTCTGAGAGGGCATCACTGATAGTATCTTGACCTGATAGTAATTGCCAGATCCCTCTCTCTGCTCCAGTGTCTGCAGCATCAAGGAAGGCTTACACCCTTGGCAATCTATTGCAACAACCTCCACATTCCCACATCTCTGGCAATCTCCCTGTGGGCTATGTTTTTGAACTACCGCCCTGCACTGATTCTTAAGCTCCAGTCATCCTGATGGGCTTCAATTAGTACAACAACAGAAAGAACAACATCCAAGGCCAATAACCTTAGCCAATACCCTGTAACTTACAATTCCAAAGCAAGACTGTCACAGCAAGACTAGGAAGGATAAAAGCCGAATTTTATCTACAGAAATAATCACAGAGCACCAAATAGAATGAGGAGGCAGAGGAATTGCAATTTACCATAGAGTGGATCAAGACTAAAACCTGTGAAAAAATCCCTAATACAACAGAATTGACCAAACTACCAGAAGATGACTTTAGAACGATAGTTTTAATAATGCTTACTGGGATTTTGAAAATAGATAACCAAAAAGAGAAGTACAAACGGAGAAAATTTTAAAAAGCTCCAAACAGAAGTCACAGAGATAAGGAATACACTAGCTTAACTTAAAATACAATAGAAGTATTCACCAATAGAGTCAATGAGGCTGAAGAATGAATCAATGAAATGTATATAGTATAGAGGAAATAATCCAAAAAGACTGGCAGAAAAAAAAATAAGAAAAATAAAGACAACCTAAGAGACCTACAGCACAGCATCAAGAAGAATAACATTCACACCATTAGGGTTCCAAGAAGGAAAAGAAAGAGATGAAGGGGCAGAAATCCTGTTTGAAAAAAAAAAAAAAAAGAGTAGATGAGAACTTCACAAACTGGTAAAAAAAAAAAAAAAACACAACAACAACCAAACAGAATCCAGATACAGAAACAGTTCCAAATAAAATAGACCAAAACAGATACATACCACGATGTATTAAAATAGCAAAAAATAAAGATAGAGAATCCTAAAGGCCACCGGAAAAAAGCAAAGTCACATATAAGGGAACTTCCATAAGGCTATTAACATATTTCTCACCAGGAACTTCACAGGTCACAAGAGAATAGCATAATATATTAAGTGTACTAAAAGGAAAAAAAAAAATCTCCAGCTAAGACTCCTCTAACCAGCTTAGCTAATACTCAGAGTTGCAGGAAAGATAGCAGACACAAACAGCTGAAAGAATTCATCTCCTCTAAATCCATCTTGCAAGAGATACTTTCTTAAATATCAATGGTCTGAATTCACCAATCAAAAGGCACTAGTTGGAGCAGAAACCAAAGCCTTCACTTTCTGCTATCGCTAGGAGAACCATCTGAATTTTGAGGATAAATATAGGTTTAAAGTAAAATGTTGGAAAAGAATCCTACAAATGATATTTAACAAAAAGGCAGAGATAGTCATACTTATATAAAATAAAAAAGACTTCCTGCTAAAAAAGGTAACAAGAAAGGTCATTAAATAATGATTAAGGGAACAATGCATCAGGAGTACATAGCACTCATCAATATACATGTACTCAACAGAAGAGCATTAAAATATGTACAGTAAATATTAACAAGCCTAAGAATATACATTGACAGCAACACAATGGTAGTAAAGGACTTAAATATCCCACTTAAATCAATGAACAGATCAACCAGACAGAACATCAATAAGGAAACAACAGTTTTGAATGAAGAATTAGACAAGATGCATATACTAGCTATTGATAGGGCATGCTACCCCCCACCCTTGCATCAAAAGTGCACATGGAACACTCTTGAAGAGCTAAATAAATGAATAGAAATAGATACAACAATATCTTACAAGATCCTAATGATGTACAAAAGGATTGATAGAAACTAAGAGCTTGTTCTTTGAAAAGATAAGTAACACAGGCGAACCTAGATACTAGGCTCACTAAGAAAAAGAGAAAGAAAACTCTAATAAACAGAATTGGAAATTAAAGAGAAATTACAATTGACATCACAGAAATACAGATAAGAGACTATTTTGAATCTCTTTATGCCAACAAAATGGTCAATGTAGAAGAAATGGACAAATCCTTAGTATTATATAACCCCCCAAAGGTTGAATCAGGAAGAAATAGAAAATAGACTAATTATGAGCATGGAAATTAAAACAGTAATCAGAAGTCTCTCCACCTCAAAAATAAAACAGTTTTCTCTAGTGAGTTATACCAAGTCCTCAAAGACAATTAAGTGCCTATCCATTTCAAGATCTTCTAAAAAATTGAAGAGAGAACACATCCATATACACTTTATGACATCAGAATTAAAACTGATACCAAATGTTGAGCAGGAAATCACAAAAAATAAAACTACTGACCAATATTTCTGACAAACATAGATGCTAAAATCCTCAGCAAAATCTTAGCAAGCCAAATTGAACAATACATTAAAAGGATCAAACATCACATCCAAGTGAGATTTATCCCAGACATTCAAGGATGGTTCATCTTACACAAATCGGTGTAATTCATCACATCAACAAAGGGAAGGATAAACATCATATGATCATATCAACAGACAGAAAGCAATTTGACAAGATGTAATATCCATTTCTAATTGAAGTTCTCAATAAAATGGAATAGAAGGAACATTTCTCAAGATAAAGGTGACACATGACAAACTGATATCTCAATGGTGAAAAACTGTAAACCTTTCCTCTCTGATCAGGAATAAGATAATGATGTCCACTCGCATCACTATTATTCAACCTAGTTTGGAAGTCCTTGCAAGAGCAATTAGGCAAGAGAATGAAATAAAAGGAATCCAAACTGGAAAAGAAGAAGCAAAACAATCACAAATTTAGATGACATGATAATATACATAGAAACTCCTAAAGATTTTACTAAAAATGCTTAGGAACAATAAGTCAGTAAGGTTGCAGCCTACAAATTCCAGATATAAAACACTAATATATTCCTACACCCTAACAGCAAATAAAAGAGAAAGAAATAAAAAAAGCAATTCCATTTAAAATTGCATCAAGAAGTAATGAGTACATTGCAATTAACTAAGCTGAAAGATTTATACAAGAAAAACTATAAGACATGGTAAAAAGAAATAAGACACAAGAAATGGAAAGTTAGTCCATACTTGTGGATTAGAAGAATGATTGTGCTTAAAGTAGCCATCTTACCTAAAGCAGTATACAGATTTAATGGAAACAAAATTCTAGTATCTTTATTCAAGGAAATAGAGAAAACACTACTGAAACATGTATGAAATCACAAAAACCAAAAACCCTAAATAGTCAAAGGATTCATGACCAAAAAAAAAAAAAAGGTATTGTTTCCAATATAGATTTCTAACTATCCTACAAAGAAACAGTAACTACAAAAGTATGGTATTGGAATAAAAATAGACACACAGGTCAATAGAATAAAATTGGAAATCCAGAAATAAACCCATACATACATGGACAGTTAATTTACAACAATGGAATCAAACCATAAAATGGAAAATAGAAAATCTATTCAAACAATTATGTTGGGAAAAATGGACAGGAACATGCAAAGGATGAATCTAAACTATTTTACACCATTAACAACAATTATTTCAAAATAAATCAAATATTTTATGTAAAATCTGAAACCATAAAATACATAGCAGAAAACATAGACAAAAACTCTCCTTGACATTAGCTTCAGTAATGTCTTTGGGAACTCAACTACAGTGGTCAGAGAAACTGAAGCAAAAGTAAACAAGTGGAACTACATCAAATTAAAGTTTCCGCTCAGCCAAAGACTATCATTTAAGCAAAAAGAAATGCTAAAAAATGAAAGAAAATAGTTGCACATAATACAATCCAAAAAGGGGCTAATATCCAACATCTATAAAGAACTCGTACAACTCAACAAAATAAAATAAATAATTTAATAAAAAAAGGGGAGAAGATCTAAACAGATACTTCTCCAAAGAAGACATATAAAACAGGCACATTCAAAAAATGATCATCACTTGTTATCAGGGAAATGTCAATCAAAACCACATCAGAAAACCACTCTTATAAGCACGAGAATAGCTCATAGTAAAAAGACCAGAAACAAGAAGTATTGGCGAGGATGTGGAGAAAAACA